ATTATTTTTTCTCTGTGATTTTGACATGTGAATTTCTTTTGTAGTTTCTGATTCTGGTGTGAGACTCAGGCGTTCAAGTTTAGGTCTGCTTCTTTTTACAACTTTATGTGTCTTTGTGGTTTACTTTTTGGGCATGAAAATCTGGTTCCTCTAAGCTTCCAGTTCTCTGTTTTGATTTGATATTGGAGTGGCCAGATTGCTTTTGTCTTCAAGAGTCCCCACAGAGGCCCAAGTCAGATGAGGATCAGATGCTCTCAGGATTTCTCCTAAGGTCTGGATCCCTCCAGGAAAGATTTTGGCCTCAGGAATTTGTGGGTTGGACTGGCCTTGGAGCCGGGCCCAGGAAAGATGCTGGTCTATGACATCTGGTGGCTGTGCCACCCAGGGATGCGAAGGAAGATGGGGGTGAGAAGTGGCCCCAAGGGCTCCTGGGGACTGCACTGAAGAGCTGGGTTGGTCTGGATGCAAAGGATCAGGAAGATGAATGGTCAGCCCTGGCCTGTCCAGGAAAGAGGCTGGGGGGTTGTGCAGGCCCAAGGAAGTAGAAGGAGGTGAGGGCCGGGCTAGGCCCAGAGTCCTCCTGGGGACAGGAGAAGGAACTGAGTTGGTCTGGATGCAAAGGATCAGGAAGCAGTGGTGGTTCCCCGGGTGTCTGGGGCACCAAGACAAAGAATGGGACAGGACCCAGGCTAGGAGGAGAGACCCACAGGGGAGATGGGAGGGTGAATGAGGCTGGGAGAGTCAAGGCATGGAGGGCAAGATCGACTTACCCTGGAGAGTGAGGCCTGCAGGTCGGAGAGAGGCCTACGGGTTGTGCAGGCCCAGGGAAGCAGAGCTCTCATGCATTTTTTATTTATTATTTTTATTTTATGTGTATGAGTGTATTGCCAGCTGGTATGTAAGTGCTCCCATGTCATGCAATGCCCACGGATGTCAGAGAAGGTGTCAAATCCCCTGGAACTGGAGTTATGTACAGTTGTTACCTGCTATGTGGGTGCTGGGAAATGAGCCTGGGTCCTTGGCAAGAAGAGCCAGTGTTCTTAACCACTGAGTCTCTAGCCCCCCTCTCATGTGTTTTTTCTGGGTCTGTATATTTAAAATTTATGTCAGGAACTACCTGCACTTTTAAGAACATTCCTTTTTCTGTTATTTTATAGCAGCAGATTTCAAATTGTCATCTAAGGAGTTCCTTGCGGTCCTGAAGAACTATCTTCAGTTGATAATAGGCCTGGAGGACCTTTTCAAAAACCTGTTTTATGGGGTTGGAGAGATGACTAAGTGATTAAGAGCACTTGCTTGCTGCTCTTGCAGAGGACTCAGGTTCAGTTCCCTGCACCTATACTGGGTAGTCCAACTGCCTGTAACTCCAGTTCCACAGGATTGATGACTTCTGGCCTCCCCAGGCACCTGCACACACATGGTGCACATAAAGACACTTGAGCATAAATACACACACACACACACACACACACACACACACACAAATCTTTTTTTAAAATCTGTTTAATATGTGAGCTTTCATAAGCATCTTTCTAATTATTAAAAATTTTCCCAAAAAGAATTTCTTATAAAAATATTACAATTCTATAAATTTTTTTCCTGTTACAGAGTTTAAGAAAAATTAGTCATAGTATTTATATTAGCTAGAGTTCTCTAGAAGACCAGAACCAACAAATGGATATATATTACAAGGGGATTTATTAAATTGGCTCAAACAGCACCATCTGGGTAGATGGCTGCCTTCATATTGGAGAGGCTGAGAACCCTGCAGTTGCTCAAGAGGGTGGATGCTTCAGCAATCCCAATCTAGCACTGAAGGCTTGGAGGATTCCTGAAGAGCCACTGGTCATCAGTCCACATTGGAAGGCCAAAGATGATGGTTTCTGATGGCAGCAAAGTATGGAAACAGCAGGGACAGTAGCAGTGGCAGTGGCAGCATCAGGGTAAATGTACTCACCAGCAACTGGCAGAAGGAAACAGGAAAAAGCAACAGCGTTTCCCCCAGACCTCCTTGTATCTGGACCAAACCTGTTGACCTTTATTTATAAGCAAAACATATACTTCCTTTTGCAGTACTGATTTTCTGAGAACACTTGTTTTTAGCTATGGTAAAGATGACTAGAGCTGAATGTTCAACAAGTTCTAGTAAGATTTTATAGTGTATCTTTTTTTAAGTTAATTTGAATATTTGAAAGTAACATGAAGCAAATAGAGTATTTATAGTTTAGAATATACGGCTGAGCGTGATTAAACCTATTACCAAGGTTCTGTTTGTTTCTTACATACTGTAATTGATTGAAATACAAATACTTCAATAACCTACTGATGATTCTTTTCTAGATGAAAACTTTTCAGTTCCTCATAATAAAAGAGGAGTCCTTGGAATGGTCAACAAAGGCCGTCATACAAATGGGTCCCAATTCTATATCACACTACAAGCAACTCCCTATCTGGATAAAAAATACGTGGCTTTTGGGTATGTACATTGTACGTTTGTCTGTATAATAGTCGTATACATAAATTCTGCTGCTTAAAAAGATTTTCATAAGTATTGTACATAGTCTATGAGTAGCCAGAGATGGAGCTGTAAGCAAAATCAATGCAAATATGGATACCTTTAGCAATAAACAATTCAAAAGAAGCTTGCTATCCATAAAATACAGAAACCCAGGCTCTCAGGATGGCTCAGCAGGTAAAGGTACTAGCTATACAAGCCTGACAACCGGAGTTTGATTCACAGAACACACAAAAAGATAGAAGGAGAGAGCCAACTCCATAAAATTGTCCTCTGTTTTTCACACATGGATCATGATGGACTCACACATAATAATAATCTTTTTGGGGGTTGTTTTTTTTTTTTAAAGACAGGGTCTCCCTATAGCCACAACTGGCCTGGAACTCACTATGTAGACCAGGCTGACCTTGATCTTACAGAGATCCACCTGCCTCTGCCTCCTGAGTGCTGGGATTAAAGGAGTGTACCACCACACCCAGCCCATTAATAATTTTTTTAAGTATAGAAACTACTTAGACACAGTGATGGTAATGTTCTGTCTATCCATATATCTGTCTTTCACTCTGTCATCAATCAGTTGTCTATATCTATGTACCTACCTGCTTCTCATCTTCAGTCTCCAGGTTATTATGCATTCTTAATTACTGTAGTGCTCAATAGTGCAGACATATTTACATGCAGAAATGAGGAAGTGATGCCATCTTACTAATTGTTTATGAGCACTATTATAAAGATTGATGAAAAACTATTGGCATGACATGTAATTTTTTATGAATAATTTATATATGAAAACAGCTCTGGTAATAATTACCATTAGAGTATTAGTAAGATGCTAATTATGGACAAAAATGGGTGACAGAGGTCCTTTTCATCCCTCCAAGTGTTTGCTCTCTGCTTAATTACTGGAATGAACATGAGGGGAGCAGGCTGTCTTGCCCTAGAACATTTCTGGATGTTCTTAGGTTATTTCATCCCCTTCGAAGGGATTTTTATTGGCTCTGAAACTCATAAGGACTCTCGCATCTAGTTTTAACCATAATAATTTAGTGTTATTCTGTGATGCTTTCAGGTTGAAAAAAGTAGAAAATACATTTTCTTTCAAAGTATAGCGTTAATACGATGACTTTACATTCATGGATTCAGAACTTAAAATAATGATTTGTCCTCAGTTTTCCCTCACACTAAATAAACTATTCGGATTTTGAAAAATGCATTTTTGGGGTGGGTTCAGAGTCTCATAACGTGATCCAAGCACAGTAATTCCCTGCTTCAGTCTCTTGAGTTCCTAGGTGCTGGTACTGTGCCCCTCTATACCGCTATGCCTGGTGAAAATGCATTCTTGAATGAATTTTAAATCCAAGGAGCTTTACCTTCTCTCAGTTCATTTATAAATCTCCTCTGTCCTCTTGCTGAGAATTTGTTCCATCTTCTTCCAGCTGCTTGTTGATCCTTTGTATCTCATTGAAACCAACTTTCTCAAACAAGCAAGCATGACTATTGTAAAACTGCAGTGCCTCTGTCACCACCACCTCCTGCAGAAAAATACAGCTTACAGTCCAGGACAGTATTCCACATCCCTCCCTCTCCAGCCCTACACCTTTTTCTCGGCCATCATTTCTGCTATCTTCTTGGTTCGTTCAATAAGAATTTTACTGCAGTCTGCCACTCCTGATGCTTCATGTCAGGAGGGGATGACAAAACACAAGGCCTGCTCTTCAGGAAGCTTAGAGTACACTAGGAAAGGCAGATTAAAAAAAAACCCAGGGACTACATGACAATGAGACACAGAGTGCAACCTGTCAGAGTGTTTGGGGGGCACTTGACGTAGGGATGACACATACTGGTTCCTTTAGTAAAGCAAGCATGGGTCCTTACAGGATGGCTGTGGAGTGAGTGAGTGACCTTGTTTTCCATAATTCCTTGGCTCTTCATGGGGCAGTCTCTAATTTTTATTGTCATCACCACTCAGGTCTCAGTGCCCCCCTTTAATGTTGGTTCAAGCACAGTCTCAACTCATCCCTTAACTCTTCAAATCATGCTTTCAGTCAGGCTGGAATATCTAAATAAGACCTCAAAGAAAACACCAAGGGAGATGCAGAAAGGTAATAACAAAATAGCTAGGTAATCCAGTTAGGTCGTGAGTGAATCCCAGATCTCCAGCCTTGAACTACTTTGCTGGACTTAGTTTTGTTTAGGTGTGCCCAATTCTTCCCTTTTGAAATAAGACAGTACTTTTTTGGATTTTACAGGAGCCCAGAGTTAAGAAACTTTTAAAGGAGTCTATGCACTTTTATGTGTTTTGATTTTTTAAAGACTCTGGGACTTTTTTTCATTTTTTTATTTATTGATTTGTGTTTGTGTGTGTGTATTTCATACAGAACATCCCAAACTATCTTATTCATCTTTATACTCGCATCCCAAATGGCCTCCCATAGCCCCCACCACTACCACCACTGGAACCCATATACTCTGTTATCCCTGTTGCTGTCCACTGTGTTGTCAGTGACCCCAGCCATTCCCCAGTGTAAGTCCATCTGCTGAATCTAGTCAGCCTATCTAGGGTTCCTTGTTATAGGAAGATCAGCAATCAGTTGCCAATATTCCTTTAGATAAGATTGGGGTCTGCTGTTCATTTTCCCAGTTCTTTGTTGGGTTACTATCTTGGAGTCTCTTGGGACTTTTAAGGTTGTACTGTCTTATGTTGTGATATTGTTAACATCATATCTTGGGAACAAGAGATGGAAAGGCTGTGGTTTAATAGTGATGTGTTTGTGTGTCAAGTTGACAAGGGGTCAATTGTGGATACTTTAGTTGTCAACCTGACACACCTAAGTAGAGGGGCCCTCAGTAGGGGAATTTCCTCCATTGGATTGGCCTATGGCCATGTCTGTGGGGTATTTTCCTCATTGTTGAGTGATGTGGGAGGGTGCAGCCCACTGTGGGCAGTTCCACCCCTGGGCAGGTTGTAATATATAAGAAAGCAGGCTGCACATGGGCTAGAAGGGCAAGCCAGTAAACGGCATTCCTCCATGGTCCGTGCTTTAGCTCTTACCTCCAGGTTCCTGCTCTGAGTTCCTACCTTGGGTGACCCAGGAGATGTAAGCCAAAGAAACCCTTCCCCCCCCAAGCTGGTAATGGCTGAGTGTTTTGTCAAAGCAATGGAGAAACAAACTAGAACACTCAGTGACCTCAAAGGGAAAGAATAACAAAATGCAAGCTTATAAGAGCTCCATCCATGCATACACATGGTAGGAGGAGGAGAGAAGTATATGTTGGGGGTAGTGGTATGGGGAATTAACTTTATTTCCAAAGGGTATTAATGTGCAAAGGAGCCATAGAAAGCTTTGTGAGAATGTGAGCTGGATAAACTGAAGTAGACATTAGCCAGATGGGGGAAGAGGAAATCACAATTAGTCAAATCAATTTTAAAAAGACCAAGGAGCTCTTAGAGAGGCCCTAAGGAACAAGAGAGAAGTTTGTGTACAAATTGGCTAGTCAAGCTACAACTTGGAGCCCAGGGGAGAATAGAGAGAGTGATGCTGGAGAAAGGAGACAGCCAGGGCCCAACAGGCCACAGGTGTGATGCTACAGGGCATGGACTTCTCCCAAAGGTGATGAGGAGCTATAGAAGAATTTTAAATTGTGGACAACTTGAACAGCTCATTGGAAAAGATTTCTCTAGAACAGTCAACTGGAAAAAAATGAAAAGGTACAGAGGCCAGTTAGGAAGGTCTGGTCATAACAGGCAAAAACCAAGTTCTGTCTGAAGCTCTTACCATATAGGCAAGTTGGGAGTAAGTGTACAGTGCCAGCAGCATTGAGAAGTTAGATTCATGGGGCTTGATGGCTCTGTAGATGTTGAAGGGTAAGAGCATGGGAGGAGTCTAGATCATTTTTGTGCAGAACAGTAGTGATGGAAATCTATGACCTGCAGGCAGCCACCAGACACCCAGACACATACAGCCATTGAATACTTGAAATATGGCCAATGTGTAAAGAATGGAATCTACCTCTAGGTGTAAACAAGCCTTTGTCTCCTCCCTTAAGTGTTAATCCAGTAGGGCAAGTCAGGGACCTGACTAGGGGACCATCCCTAGGAAGGTGAGTTCACTTTAAGATAATGGGCTTTTCTTTCCCAGAATTCTCACCCTTCTGTGCAGTCCCTTAGGGCCAAGGCAAAGTTAGGAGGGTCTGCCTCCCTTTCTGAGGCCTGACTCAAATAGACAAGTGCAATATATGCTTTTAAACTCCCTAACTAATGCTTTGGGCTTCCTTACTCTTTTTCTAAAGCTCTCCTCCCTGCCAGATGGCTGACCTCCATGTTTATCTTCTCCATTTTCCTCCTCTGGGCAGCTGCAAAATTTTCAGCCTGCCCTGGAGTTTTCTTTTCTTTTCTTTTCTTTTAAATTTTATTTACTTATTTTTTTATTTTATGTGTATGCGTGCATTGCCTGCATTTAGGTAAGTGCACCCATGTCGTGCAGTGCCCACAGAGGGCAGAAGAGGCTGTCAGATCCCCTGGGACTGGAGTTATGGACAGTTGTTAACTGCCATGTAGGTGCTGGGATTCGAACCTGGGTTTTCTGCAAGAACAACCAGTGTTCTTAACCGCTGAGCCATCTCTCCTGCCCTGTAGTTTTCTTTTTAAAGTCTAATAAATTGTCCTTTGAGCTTCAGTTTGAGTCTGTTCTTAATTCTTTTAATAATGAAAATAAGAACCCTCCCCACAAAAGAACCCCAATTTCTTTGGTATCATATGATGGCTCTGCTGGGACGCCCCAAGATTTCTAGTAACACTTCTCTGCCTTTTAATTAAAAAAAAATATTTTATTTTAAAATTTTATGTGTATACACCCATGTCCTGCAATGCCTGCAGGGGCCAGAAGAAGGAATCGGATCCCCTAGAACTGGAGTTAGGACAGTTGGTAGCCTCCATGTGGGTGCTGGGATTTGAACCTGGATCCTCTGGAAGAGCAGCCAGTGCTCTTAACCATTGAGCCATCTCTCCAGCCCCCTTTTAATTTTTTAATTGGCAGAGAAATCAAACAAGTTCTTGCACCCCTAGATGGCATCAAGTGCCACTAGGACCCAAAATTAATTCTAAATAAATTTAGATTTTATTTTTTAATTTTTAAAAAAATTTATTTTTATTTTATGTGTATGAGTGTTTTTCCTGTATGTTTATAAGCACACTACATGCATGCAATGCCCTCAGAGACCAGAAGAAGAAGGCATTGGATCCCCTGGAACTGGAGTTATGATGGTTGTGACCTGCCATGTGGGTGCTGGGAACTGAACCCAGGTCCTGTGCAAGAGCAGCCAGTTGTCTTTACTCCTGAGTCATCTCTCCAGCCCTTTTTATTTACATGTGTGTGGATATGTGTATACGTGCCTGCTGAGGTGTGAAGGTATTGAATCTCCAGGAAAAGATGAGGGCATTGGGGTCCCTGGAGCTGGAGTTAAGGGCAGTGTAAGCTACCCAACATGGGTGCTGGGAACCAAACTCGGGTCCTATGGAAGAGCAGCAAATTCTCTTAACCACTGAGCCATCTTTCTAGCCCGATTCCAAATAAATTTAAATAGCCACTGATGTTAGTGGCTTCTAACTGGGCAGAATAGGTTTATAGTAATGAGAACTAGATATATGGTTGGTTATTCACTGAGACAGAGACAAGGAGAAGGATTTGGGAGAGATCAGAAGTTCAGGCTGATAAAGGGACAGTAGGGGGATGTATGGATAGGAGAAGGTATCTAAATACCATCAAACTATATTGTATGAAAATCTCAAAAAATTCAATTAAAATATTTTTTAAAAGTTCAGACTGGCCAAATTTCATTTCAAATTAAGATACTTATAGGACAGCCAGTTGGCAAGATCCCTGGGGGAGAGGGGGAGAGATATTCAAGGAGGTCGGGGCTAGAGCTGTAAATTCAGAAGTCATTTGTAGATTGGTAGCTAAGCTGCAGCCAGACCATAATACCATTACTTCTAGAGTTGTCCCTGGGCTTTGCTCATCTTGTTCCTTTCTGTCTCCTTTCAGTCTGTTGAAATTCTGTTCAGGCTTAGGTCCCAGATCATGGTAGATGGCTTCTTGGTCCTCTCCAGCACATTGTGAACAACTTAGATCAGAAACTGGGTCTCACTCATCTTGTACCCTGAGACTTATCATAGTAGAGAGGCACACTTAATAAGTGCTCATTCAGTATGTATGAAACCTATTTAGAAAAGGGTCCAATGCCCTCACTGAACAGAGGCAAATCTGTACATTTACCCTCTGTTCACCAGGCTCCAAATGCACCTTGTGTTGCCCTGTGTCTTCATCCATTTCCTGATACTATAACAGAACTCCACAGATGGGTAATTTCCAGGCAGTACATGTTTATTTGAAAGATGGAAGGTTCAAAAGCATGGTGCTGGCTGTCTAGTTGAGGCCCTTCACACCATATCATAACTTGAAGATAACTCACTCCTGTGAAAACGGTATTGATCCATTCATGTGCACAGAGCCCCATGACCTAATCACCCCTGAAAGTTCCACCTGTTAATTCCATTACAGTGGGAATGACATTTCACCATGAGGGGCCATTTAAACATAGCAGCCAGTGTCAGAGCTCTGGCTGAGATGGAGTCTATGGCCATACCACTCTGAACACACCTGATCTTGTCTGGTTGGGATGGAAAAATAGAGCCCAGGGGCAGACAAAGAGGGCTCCATCATGCTCTGTGTTGGCACTGGTCATGCCCTGTCAAGGTTTATGCAGTGGAGAACTGCTTCCCTCCTCTCAGTCACTGTCCTAACCCAAGCATTTGCAGAAGGCACTGGTTTGTGCCAAGGCCTGTCTCGCTGCTTCATACTGCCACCCTTTGTGTGTGTGCTACATGTATGTATTCATGTGTGTATTGCATATCTGTGTGCACATGCATGTAGAAGCCAGAGGTTCAGTGTCTTCCTCAATATCTCTCCGCCCTATTTTTTAAAATGTTTAGTTAAATGATCTAAATACCCAAAGACAATCAGTTTTAGAACCAACCACATGCTGCCTTTGAGAAATGCACTTTATAATGCTTTCAGTAGTTTAAAAGGTGACGCTAATCAGGAGGCTGGAGACACAGTTCTTGCTTACTGTTAAGAGCACTTCTTGCAGGATTTGGTTCTCAGAACCCACATCAGGTAGCTTACAACTGGCTGTAATCCCAGCTCCTGAGGATCTGATGCCTCTGGCCTCCAGGGGGACCTGCACTCTCTCTCTCTCTCTCTCTCTCTCTCTCTCTCTCTCTCTCTCTCACACACACACACACACACACACACACACATACAAAACACACACACACACACACACACACCAATTTAAAAAAATTTAAGAATGTTTAAAAAGGTAATGCTAAGCAAAGTTGGAATACTTGGATTCAGAAATAGATTTCAAGATATGGAACAAAAAGCATGAGCAATGAAAAGCAGCAGAACTTAGACGTTATGAAGAAAGTGAAAAGACAAGCTATACCTACATCACGGAATAAATAAAGATGAAAAAGCGAACATTACCCAGCCTGTGGATATAGCTTAGTTGGTAGAGTGCTTGTCTTTATGCATGAGACTTTGGGATCCATCTCTAGCACCCCAAAACAACCCCTGAAAAAAACCTGTATTAGATACATGCACAATATTTTTTGAGACAGGTCTCATTGAACTTGAAACTCATCAATTTGGCTAGGCTGACTGGCCAACAGTTACAGGGATCTACCTTTTTCTGCCCCCACTGCACCCTACCCCCCACCTCCACCTCAGTGCTGGCGGTACAGACATGTTCCACTGCACCTGGCTTTTCGGTGGGTACTGGGGTTTCAGACTTTGGTCTTCATGCTTCATGTGTGCAGGAACTTCACCAACTGAGCCATCTCCTCAGCTCTTGTGCTGCCGTCTTTTAAATGAAAATATCAAAAATTTGGCATCACCCCTCTGGGAGTTCTAGCTCAAGGCCAGTGAGTGTCTGTAGAGGTCCATGTTAAAACAGCCTTCAGCATTTATTTATGCATACAGTGGATATATGGGTTAGATGCCTAGTAACGTGCCAGGCTTTGAGCAAAGTCTGTCCCTGCCCCCAAGGGAGAACCAGAAGTTAACCAAAGAAACATACACATAAATAGCTTTTAGAGCCAGTGAAATGGCTCAGTGGGTAAAAGCACTTGGTGTACAAGGTTGATGACCTGTGTTCCATTCCCAGAATCCCTGGTGGAAGGAGAAACCTGGCTCCTGAAAGTTGTCCTCTCACCTGCATGCATGCATGAGACACACACTCGCTACACACACACACAAATTAAATTTAAAGAAAAATATTTTACCTCTGTGAACACCTGTAATGGTGAGGGGGAACTTGACCTAAATTGGGAGGCCTGGGAACATTTTCCAAGGAATCAAAGACGGAGCTAGGAGAACTGAAGACAGGCCAGGACGTGGCCATGCAAGAGGGGCGGGGTAGGGCAAAGGGAAAGGGGACAGCTATGGCAGAGAGGTAGTACCAGGCCTTTGGCTGGAGCAGAGCAAGAGGGACCATGCTCAAGACATCCTGAGGAGATGCTGGGGAGGAGGCAGGACAGGCATGTCCTAGTGGGTGGGCCACAGACGGGGTTTGGTCTTCATCATAGGATAATGGGATATTATTGAAGGGTTTAGAGCAAGGAGGTGACATCAGATTCCTATTTCTAACAGCTCCCTCTGACTGCAGTGAGGAGAAAGGATGCCAGGATGGATGGGTGCCAGAGCAAATGCAGGGAAGCCAGACAGAAACTGCAGCAAGCAGCCTCCAAGCAGGAAGGGACCACTGCCTGAATGGTGGCACTACACGCACGTGTGACATCTTGGGCACAGCTAGAGTCATTTTGAATATTTACAGCTGAAGTTAATTTAACTCATAAGCCTTAACTATGGACGGTAGACTCCTTGGGAATGTAAGCTAAATGCAGAAATTTATGACTAACCTCATTTTTTTCTCCTATGTAGGCAACTTATTGAAGGAACAGAAGTTCTTAAACAACTAGAATTAGTTCCAACAGAGAATGAAAGACCAATGCTTGTTTGCAGTATCATGGACAGTGGAATTCTGTATGCCTGATTTTCACATTGGCATTTTCTGTGATGATTTATTATTGTACATCTGATCAGCTGTTTCTAGATTTAATTAAATGGTGCTTGGTAACATTTAATTTGAAAGCTGTGGCAGACACTGTAGGTTGACTCATCTAACATCCAATCCCTCCCTCTTTTCCTTTCTTGCCTCCACCCTGAGACTACTAAAGCAAAGTACTCAATTTACCAGGCTTCTTTGTAGGTGGGAAGGCCATTTGCTAGCATCATGGCCAGTGGGACAGTAGAAGGCCAGTGGTCCTGCTCCCTCCCCTTCATCATTCTTGAGTACAGAGAGGCTGGATGCCAAGAGAACCCACAGAGAAGCAGGACCAATACGAGGCCCCACCTCTGCACTGCTGGACTTTATTTTTCTACAGGAGGAAAACAGACCCCTGGATTATGTTGCTGATGGTTATATTGTCACCTGTGGCCCCAACTTTTTTTTTTTTCGGTCTTTTTGAGACAGGGTCTCCCAGTAGCCCCAGCTGGCCTGGATCCCAAACATTTTTAATCTAGCAATATACCTAATGTTTTTTAATTTAAAGCATTTGTAAATGAATTATATTGTTGTTTGTAACTACATTTCTATCATGAGAAACTTGGTAAATAACCATGTAATGCAATAGAAAAAACAATTCAGTGTGAAGTTTTATTGCATATACATAGTATTCAGGAAGACTGCATATACTTTGGATGTTGTGAATATAATCCATGACTCTCTGAGCCGTTCTAATCATATGAAAATCAAAGGCTTGGGTTACACTCCCCATGGTGGTTGATACAAGTAACATTACTAGAGCTCTAAAACAGAGCTGATAAAACATCAGCTGCTCTTTGATCTAAAGGTCTTAAAGCTACATCACCTGGGGGCAGGAACTTTTAAAATATAGACCCGCAGATCCTGTCCTTGACCTCCCAAGTCACATTATCCAGGAGTGAGAATATTTAGATAGGGTCAGAGATTCTACGTTCATTTAGCTCACTCTTATTTGCAGAGCTGGACTTTTGGGGATCACAAGACAGGAGTATCTGGTTTCAGACTCCAGGTATTGTCAGCAAAGCACTGATATCACTCCCCTTGTGCCTCTCTCTCACCCAGGGCTACTCTACTTTTCTAGCCCTGCACCAAAGATGATCTCCCTTTAAACCAGTCCTGAAAGAGACAGATTAACTGATTCTGGACTCGCCAAAGATACGCATATTATTTGAGATAATTATAGATTCACAGGAAGTTGCAAAAATAGTTCAGAGAAATCTCCTGTACCCTTCACCCAGTTTCCCAAGTGCTTATATCTTACATAACTATGTACAGTACCAAAACAGGCGGCTAATAATGCCATTTTAGCAGGTAAAGACTTGTGTAGCACATAATAAAGATACAGAACTTTTCCAGCACCACAAAGATCTCCCTAGTGCTACCCCTTAGTCTTACCTATTCTGTTCCTCTTTGTGCTAGATAGCTTTGGTTATCAATTTGACATACCTTGATTGAGGGAGCCTTAACTGAGGAATTTCCTCCATTGGACTGGCCTATGACCATGTCTGTGAGACATTTTCTTGATTGTTGAGTGATGTGGTAGGGCCCAGCCCACTGTGAGCAGTACCACCCCTGGGCAGGTTGTCCTGTATTGTATAAGAAAGCAGGTTGAGCACAGGTCAGGGGAGCAAGCCAGTAAGCAGCTTACCTCTGTGGTCTGTGCTCCAGGTTCCTGCCCTGAGCTCCTACCTTGGGCTCTCTCAGTGAGATGTAAGCCAAATAAACCCTTTCCTCCCCAAGATGGATTTATCACAGCAATAGGAAAGCTAACTAGAACACTCTTTATTGCTATACACTTTATTGTATACACTTTGAATATACTTTGAATACACTATTGTATACACTTTGAAACTAAGCTCTAAAGTAGATCGGGAGAAAGTATATTGTCTATACTACATCATCAACTGATCCAGAGACAGAACAGTGTTCAGAATGTGTGCTCTAGAGCCAGACTGCCTGGGCTGGAATCTTGGCTTTGCCCTTTCCTAGCTGTACCAACTCAGGCAGGAAATTTTCTGGGCCTCTGTTTCCTCATGTGGAAAACACTGGTGCCTACCTCAGGGTTGTTGTCCAAGTTCTTGGAATTAATCATTTGTATAAAGAACCTAAAAAGAGATCTGGTGTGCTGTAGGTGCTCAATAGATGGATGCTCAATTTAATATTCCATAAATTTATGGTGAATAACCTGCAGGATGTGGCCTCTGAATGTGTACTTTCTAAATGAACTCTTAAAACAGCTATGGCAGAGTGAGCTCCTCCTCTATATTCGTAACATCCTGAGCACTCGATCTGAGAACTCAAGTTACTCTTTTATTTAGTTTTTAATCCTAAGAAAAGCTCTCACTATATAACCCAGGCTGGCCTCAAACTCACATTCGCCCTGCCTCAGTCTCTAGGATTATAGGGGTGTAGCACCGTACCCAACTACCTAAACCCTGACTATCCTATGAAGCCTCCAGACCTCTCTCTGGGCCTTTAGCTAGTCCTTGGGTCACACTGGGGACATCGCAAAAGGGAGCAGGGCTTACTACCAAGACTGACCAACTAGTGAGGCAACTGAATGAAAACCCCAACAGTTTCCAGGAATCCTGGTTATAACATGACAAGCATTGGTCATGTGGCAACAAACAGCAGAGGAGTTTGGACTAGTAAAAAACCGTACTAACGGTATTAAGCATTTTATCTAATATTGTGAAAGAACTGGGATATTTTCCTGTTGTAAGAAACTGACTCCAGTGTAGGGGTAGTGGTCCATGCCTATAATTCCAGCACTAGGGAAGTAGAGGCAGGAAAATCAGCCAGCCTAGGCTACAATATAGTTTTCAAAGCCAGCCTAGGCTACACAGCAAGTTCAGGCCAACCTGTGCTACATAAGAACCTGTCTCAAAAAAAAAAAAAAAAGATTCCTACTCCTTCTGTCCATTTAACAGCAATATAAAGGTAGACTTCTACCAGTCGTCACAAAGATGGCAAATTCACAGTCCCTTTGTTCACTTCTCATTAACTTTCCATTTCCAGGCTGTGGAAACTTTAATTCCAAATCTATATGTGCAGTGATTCTTAGGACCCCATTTAAAACTATACACAGTGATGTTTCTACTTCCTTCAGAGGTAGAAGCAGGAGGATCAGAAATTCAAGGTCATCCTCAACTGCACAATAATTTGAGATCAGCCTAGGTTACCTGAGACCTTGTCTCAAAATAAACAAAATAAAAATTTTAAAATCAAATCAAATAATAAAGGGATTTGGGGGCTGGAGAGATGACTCAGTGGTTATGAGCACTGCCTGCATTTCCAGAGGACCTGGGTTTGAATCCCAGCACCCATTTGGTGGCTAACAGCTGTCTCTAACTCCAGTTTCAGGGGATCTGATGCCCTCTTCTGGCATCTGTGGGCTTTACATGATATGGGTGCACTTACATACATTCAGGCAAAACACTCAAACACATAAAAATAAATTTAAAAATTAGAAAAAAAAGGGGATTTGCCCCAACTGTAGACAATGCCAATTATCTGTTAATGAATCTAGCAACATCAGACTCTTGAGTTTTTATACATTATGAATATTTTAAGTTAAGCATGTTTGGTTTTGATTCACATTTTCTCAATGATAATGTTCAAATGTTGACCTCATTTATACCAATAATAGAAATAAGGAAGTTGTTGTCTACCTGCTGGTTCTAAGACTTAAGTGATTCTGTGAATAAATTTAGAAAACTAATAACAATACAGTGTTTTATTTTGGGGTTTCATTCCCATGAATAAAATGGGACTACATCTATCTCAATGTTTTGAGGATTGAAACAGCAGGTGAAGACATTTCTAATGATGCCTTGCATATGGCAGATACCCAATAAAAACTGGGCAATGTCTCCTCACAAAAACAGTCCAGTAATAGCATGTCATCATTTCAAGAAACATTAAAACCCTGTCATGCTCTGTGTTATCTGTTTTTATTAATAGCATATGAACCTTTAGTCAACTAACTGACCTGATTCAAAGGTATCTCTTTAACACTAAGATTAGTCTCCCCCATTCTTAGAGATTCTCTTTTCCTTAAATAGCATACTGCTATCCCCTACCTTCCCAAAATGGAATCTTGAGTCTCTATCAAAATCCATACATTCTATAAATATAAATATTGGTAATAAATTATACACACCATAAATTACAAAGCTGGACCTCAGGGTTTTGTAAATGTGATAAATCACAGCTTTTCTTACTTTAGCATGTATCAGAATGGTTAGGCCGGTCAGATTCTTGGGCCTTACAAAGTTTTTGATTCAATGGGTCTGTGGTGGGCTGGAGAATCCTTTGAAAAAAAATACAGGGTTTCCATGTGACTTCAGCTGTCCTGGAGTTCACTATGTAGACCAGATTGGCTTCGATCTCATAGAGATTTGCCTGCCTCTGCCTCGGCCTCTGTCTATGCTGTGATTAAAGGCATATGCCACCACATCTGGCTTCAAGAATCTGCACTTTTTAATAAGTTCAAGGTGATACTGATGCTGTTGGTCTGGAGACTACACTTTAAGAACCAATAGCTATAGTAGAGACAAAGGTCTATGACACACAGGCATATAGAAACAACTGTAAAACTCTGAACTGCACCATACAAAAGAAAGGAAAGAATGAGGAAAAATTATGACACAAGAAACTCTGATTTCATCAAGGCAGCAGAAAAGGTCTTCAAATACCAACCTGTACAAGGTCCTAGAGCTCTTGGCTGGGCCAGAGGTGGGCTTCCTAGCTGTTAGTTGGTGCAGAACAGCAGTCTGGGATTTTGGCAGAGGGACTGGAACATTTGGACTACTCAGGGTATGCTCTTTGTCAATCAATACAGAATTATCTGAACATTTTAATCTCCAGAGTGGCCATCTGATTGTGTTCTAGCTGAAAAGCAGTTCTCCAGTTCTCCAGCACAGGATTGGGAGCATTGTGGATGCCTCTGTACAGAGGGACAGCACAGCTAATGCAGGACACCAGAAAACAGCCTGGGATGTTAACATAGAGGTTATTTCTAGGAAGTAAGTCAAGAAAAAGTGAGAAATAATTCAGAGAACTCCAGTGAACCTAGGGGTTGAAGCAGAAGTCCAAGTCTTAAAGCTGGGTATGTGGAACATATTTGTAATCCCAGATCTCAGAATCTGAAGAAGAAGGATTACAAATTTCAGGGAAGCCAGGGCTACACAATAAATTCAAGGCCATCCGGGCTTATATAAGATCCTGGCTCAAAAAATCAAAGGGAAAAAAAGTCATACATCTCAGATACTGGCTAAGAAGAACCTGGATGGGCTCTATGACTCTTGCACACTCAGTTTTGGGCTGCTGATACCCCAATTTTAAATATATTTGTAAAAACTAAACAATATTGTCTTACTATGGTTTTGTTGATGAATCACTTCATACTGGCAATTTAGGAGGCTAGAAAGTTCTGTGCAGGTTATATAGAACAAAGTTTTCTTTTTTATTTATTTGTATTTTATGCACATGAGTGTTATGCCTGCACGTATGTAAGTGCACTGTGTCTGTGGAGGACAGAAGGAGGCACTGGATCCTCTGGAACTGGAGTTATGGATGGCTGTTAACCGCGATGTGGGTGCTGGGATTCAAACCTGGTCTTTTACAAGAGCAAGCAGTGCTCTTAATCACTGAGCCATCTCTCCAGCCTGGAGCACAGTCTTTTCAAACTCTGATAGTAGGTATGCATATGAATCTTCTATGGATCTTGTAAAAATGAAAGTTCTGATTCAGGAAGTCTGACCAAGACCCAGGATTTTGCATTTCTAACAAATTAAGTCAAATAAATGATATTTGTCCATGGATCACTTTCAAAAGCAAGATTAAGATGGGAGTTTTCAACCAGAATTGTAGGTTAGAAACACTTGGGGAACTCCTGAAAATCCTGATGCCTAGACCTTTCAGACCCACTTAGTCCTTAGTATTTTTTAAATGCCCCAATGTGCAACAAAGCCTGAGAAAGTATAGTGCTCCCTGTCCAAAGTCCTGGAACTAGTATCAATGAAATATCCACAAGGTGGAGCTCTTCCAAATAAGAATGTCTTAGTATATATATATATATATATATTATGTCCTAATCACACCATCACACTGTTAAAAATCTGAGAGATGGCTTGGCGGATAAGAGTGCTTCCAGCTCTTCCAGAGGACCTGAGTTCAGTTTCCAGCACTCATTCACAACCACCTGTAACTCCAACTCCAGGGGATCCAACACCCTCTTTTGGCCTCCACAGGCACCTGTGCTCATGTACACACACACACACACACACACACACACACACACACACACAATTTCTTCAAAAAGAATAAAAATAAATCTTTAGTTGGACACAGTGGCACACACCTTTAATCCCAGACAGAGGCAGGCAGATCTATGAGAGATTGAGGCCAGCCTGGTCTACATAGTGAGTTCCAGGCCAGCAGGAAGCAGGGGCTACAGGGAGATCCTGTCTCAAAAAGGCCCAAAACAGAAAAATCTTTAAAAGTCTGAAAGGGTTTTAATTTATTATGAATTTCGTTATTTATTGTTGGTGTTTTGCATGCTGGGAAATGCATCCCTGAGCTACATACTTCTAGCTTCTGTTATAACCCTCCCACTGAAGGTTTAATGCATGTTGTTAAAGCTGTGTTATAAGCCAAGTGTGGTGGTACAAGTCTTTAATCCCAACACTTAGGAGGCAGAGACAGGTGGGTCTCTGTTAGTTCAAGGCCAATCATGGTCTACATAGCAAGTTCTAGGTCAACCAGGATTGCACAGTGAGACCTTGTCTCAAAAACTGTGTTATAGATGCCAATCCTTGCCTCCCCCATACCCTCCTGTGTATGAATTTCCCTGATCTATAGCTAGAGAGGGACTATATCCAGGGAGATATTTGTAGGACCTGCCCTCCTGGATTTAAAGACCACTATTTTTGGCAAGGGTGAACAACTGACCAAAATGAGTCAGTTTGTTCATTTTCTCCTTTTTTAAAAAGTAAAAATAAAGTGCCTCTTATGAGTCCAGCATCATGACTGGAGTAGGGAATCAGCTGGTAAGCACTGTTTCCTCAGAGTTGATAACTGAAGGACAAACTGCAGTATGAGGCATGCATTGTTATAAGCAAGCACAGCGAAGCCCCTGGACAGGGGTAGTCTAGAATTTTTAAGAAGAATTTTACAGAGGAAGTGACTCTTAGTGAGAGACCTGTAGGGAGAAGTAGGAATTGGCCAGGTGCCAGAGGGGCAGAGGAAATCATGTCATAAAGGCCCATATGCAAAAGTAAACATGAGCAGTTAGACCTGCAAATTCGAAGAACTCTCATGTAGATTACATGATAAGGGTTCATTGAGAGTAGGGAGTTGTGCTTAGTTTTGTCAACTTGATACAATCTAGAAGCACTTGGGAAGAGAGTCTCAGTGAGGGATTGTCTAGATCAGGTTGTGGGTATGTCCACGTGGATTGTCTTATGTTAACTGAAGTAGGAAGACCTGGCCATTGTGGGCAGCACCATTCCCTGGTCTGGGCCCTGGACTACATTTACAAAGGGTGAGCTGAGTACAAGCATGCAAGCATTCATTCTCTCTGCTCTTGACTATGATCTGACTAGCTGCTTTAAGTTTCTGCTGCCTTGACGCCTCAGTAACCGTGGACTGTAAACTGGAGTTGTAAGCTGATGAAACTTAAAGTTGCTTTTTATTTCCTCACAGCAAAAGAAAACAAAACTATGACAAGAGTGGACAGATTGAGAAATTTTAGGTCAGTGGAGTAACTTTCTTCCAGTGACTGTAACAGGAACACTGGGCAATAAAGTTGGCTAGCTATGAGGACTAGAGCTGGCAAGATCACTGGGATGTTCTAGCAAGCCAGGTTGATGTACCAAGAGTTCTTTTAAAGTCAAGGCTCCCATGGCCCACAGATTCTTGATTTCCCACCCCTCAAAGTCTGTAAGATTTACTGCCTTATTCTTACAATGAATCCCCTTAACATGAGCTACTGAAAAGGGGTTTTGTCCCTAGGAATCAAGTAATGGAGCCAAACTCCTGATTCCTAAGGACCTACCGGATAGCAGTTATTCTGACAGCTAGAAGGCAGGTTCCTGTTTGGAGCACTGGTTTCTTTGTTGGGATAAAGGAATTTTAGGGAAAACAGTTTGTTTAAAAAATTAGAGGGCGCTCAGGCTGCTAGAAAATTCACAAAAGCCACACACTCCTTGTTTTTAAGGGAAGAATACTGACATGCAATAATCTTAATTGCAGACAAGGTAACTAAGAGGAAATAACCTGAGCAACAGCTGTCCCTCTAAACAGAAACCTCTAGAATAGTTCTCAACTAAGGGTTTACCATCAGGGGATACTTACTAATGTTTGGAAGTATTTGGTTAGCACAGCTGAAAGGTAGGGGTCTTTCTGGCTTCTCCTAAATGGAAGCCAGGGTTGCTACTATACATATAAAGGCAGGTCAAGCAACAGTTAGCCTAAAATCTTGATAGTGCCAAGTTTGAGAAATAAGACAATGAACAAAATTCTCTTTTATGAACTAAAAATAAAGCTGTTTCTGGAATGGTGAGAATGATTTTGGAACTCTTCCATGATCTAGTTCTATAGATGCTATGTAAATAGTTTTCTGGTCCTCTTATACAGAATAAAGGAAATCTGAGGACTAGACCACTCAAATGACAAATAATCAATACCTCCCCAAGGTGGAGTGTGTTCAGTCTAGATAAAGGATTCCGCAGTATTAAGATAAACAGAAGCTCTGTTTTTAATCTTGAAACCTTAAAAGTTGGGTGGTGTCTTCTGCATTTAGTCTGGGTGTCAGTCAAGTGCAAAAAAAAAAAAAAAGAACGTGTGTTCTAACAGAAAAGCAGCTATTTCTTTGAAGGGCTGATAATAGTATCTCTTATTTGACTGCCCTCTAAAAAAGTTTCTGGCCATCAGTATGAGCTGTCAAAACCCATCAGATTTTTGTTTGGACATCTGCATAAATTTCCATGAGGGACTACCCAGATTAGATTCCTGTCAGGAATAAAGGCTTTCGATCTTGGGCCAAAAAAGTTCTAAAGCCTTCTGCCATCTTTTTTTTTTTTTTTTGATGTTTGTGGTACAGCAAAACAGACCTCACAAAAGCAGTTAATATTCATTATTAGTAGGGTGAAATATGTATAATTTAAAACTAAACAGACAGCTGAACCAAGACAGCACCCCATACTGTGTTGGGGATTGAACCCAAGGTCTCCTGCATGCCAAGAAAGTGTTCTACATACAATTTTCTTTCTTTCTTTTTTTTTTTTTTTTTCTTTTTGGTCTTTTTGAGACAGGATCTCCCTGTAGCCCCAGCTCTCCTAGAACTATGTAGACCAGGCTAGCCTTGAACTCACAGAGATCTGCCTGTCTGCCTACCTCTGCCTCCCAAATGCTGGGATTAAAAGTGTGCGCCTACACGCCCGGCCAAGTCTTTTTTTTTTTTTTTTTTTACTTTTATTTTTGTTTTATGTGTATGCGTGTATTGCCTGCACGTAAATAAGTGCACCGTGTCGTGCAATGCCCGCGGAGGGCAGAAGAGGCTGTCGGATGCCCAGGCCTGGAGTTACAGACAGTTGCTGGCTGCCGTGTGGGTGCTGGGATTCGAACCCGGGTCTTCTCCAAGAACCACCAGTGTTCTTAACCGCTGAGCCTTCTTCTCTCCAGCCCTCTGAAGTCTAATTTTTTAAACACTTGATTTAAGCATATCAAGCACTGAACATTTTGTGAGATGCAGCATTAGATGGCGCTCATGACTAAGGAAAGCCTGAGCCCCGCCACTGGCACCGAAAAGGCCAGTTCTGACAGGCAATTCTGGCACCAAGGTCAGGTCACTTTCCTAGGTCTCAATTTCCTCATCTGAGAAGTGGGGGTGGGAAAGGACCCGAGAGCCTTTCCACCAGACCGTCTCTTTCCGCCTACAGTGGTCGGGGTGGGGCAGATCCTCGGTCTTTGAAGTAGCCGCTCGGAAGGTACCGCAGGGAAAGTGCACTGGAGGCGCTGGTGACCCAGGGCTTCGGGGACAAAAGACCGCTTTCGGTGCCACCGCGGCCCGCACAGAGAGGGCCGCCGCGGGGCAGAACCTTCAACCACGTGGTGCCGGCGCGACTAACAGGATCACCTAAAACAAGTCGGCCTGGAAGAAGACGCGGCTTCCACAGAAGGCTGAGGCAGGCGCTCCCGGGATGCCACGGCTCCGCACCAGCTCAGCGCGGACCCAGGTCTCTCGGTGCCCGGGGCTGGACTCAACCCCCGAGGAGCAGTACTGCAGGTCACGTGAGGCCGCCGCTGCCGCCTCTCCGGCTGCTCGGGCGGACGCCGCAGGCCACGTCATGTGGGCTGTTTCATCCACGCCGGGGGGACCTTCCCTACCGCGGACATAGAGAACAACCCATTACGTCGTGCGTGGTCATCTCAGGACAAGGAGACCACTTGACGCACGTGGACGGCTGTCCCGTGACCGGAAGGCGGCGGTCTCCTCCAGCCGCTGCCCTCCCCCCGAGGATTCCGATGGTCTCGCCCAGCCCCGCCCCCTCAGGCCCGCTACGGGACTGCCGTGCGCTCCCGTGGGGCGCGGAGTCTCGGGGCCGGCGCCGCAGGGGACGTAGGGCTCGTCGGAGCTTCCTTTGCTGCACCATTTCGTGGACGCCGGGGCCGAGGATACGATGGCGGGAGTCTGCCGCGGGCTGTTCTGCGCCGTCACCTGCCTGGCTGCGCTCTGTGTGGTGTGGGCCACAGAGGTTTCAAACGTGACCACGACCCTAGCGCCCACCCAGCCGGCCGCGACGACGCTGACGCCCGCCTCGCCGTCCACGCTGCCAGGTGGGCGCCGGCCCGTGCTCCCTCCCTCCCGCGCCTGGCCGCGGCCACCCGACTCCCGCAACATGGCGGCCCGGCCCGCGTGGGGAGCGGAAAGCGGCGGGCGACCGCCGAGGCCTCCGGGCCGCTCTCCGCGCTGCCTGCCCCAGCCCTTCTAGAAGCGCCTCGAGACTCCTGGCAGCCGAGGAGGACGCGGGACGCGGCTTCCTTCCGCAGTGGCAGCTGGGGAGTTGGGGGTGTTGAGGCTACCAAACTTCCCTCTCCCGGTGGCTACCGGCTTATCCCCGCAGGGCCTCTCTCGGCTGAAGGCTTCTCCGGAAGTTGGGGGGGGGGGAAACTTAGATCAATTAGCGCCGCCTCCCGCGAGGCTGGAAATTAAGAAACGGAGTCGCTGGTAATTCGATCGCCTTGGTATTGCAGATAGGTTGGGCTCAGACCGAGGCTCGAGTTTGGCTAGCGAAAAGTTGAATTGCGTGCAGAGTGCAGAGGAAGCCGAGTACCACGCCTGTGCCCAGTGCTTGGCAGTTACTCCCAGTACCCGAGGCGAAACTGGAAGATGGAGAGATACCCCCCCACCCCCTCCCGGGTGTGAGTAGGGTGTGGAGTGGATTGAAACCCGCTCTGGATTCGCTAAACCCCATCAAGGAGCGCGCTCTGGTTAGACTCCAGAATGACTAAGGCGCACACAAATTTTAAAGCTAAAATTGACATAGGCCGTGACAGCACAAGAGACAGGATGAGGAATTTGAGGTAATAAGGTGGAAAAACGGGATGTTTAAACGTGATTGGCTATTGTGCCGGCGAAGGAGGCCCTGGGCTGCCATGCAGGATTGCGCAAGTGAATGGCTTTAACTAGCGTTTTCCTCGTTCTCATCTTACTAAGATTTATTAGTAATAAAAGATTGTGAACTTGATAATACATCTTGTTAGCGTCAGAAAGAGGGCAAAGTTCACATATCCTTAGAACATTCTAAATGAGGAAAATTTCAGGACAGTGCTTGGAATTTCTGCTACACTTTAAGATGATAAAGCAAAATATTTTTGTCTTCTGCTTACTTGACAGACCCCTCAGAATTGCAATGGGTTGTGTTCTTTTGGTTTTAACTGCTTTTGCATAATTGGGATGCCTGCAGAGGAGATGTTTGTGTTTTCTGGAAATTATAGAAGAATAAGCTGCAGTCTGAAACGGTGTCAAATAGCATCCTTATGCTACACCCGTCATCCACCCGGAGAGATTTTAAATAGCATAAAATCTGGATGGAAAACTACCTTGTGAACACCCTGGTCCACTATACGTCTTTTTAAAAAATAAATAAGAATTGGGATTCATTGCTTCTGCTGAACTATTCGTTGAGGGGAAAGCAGGCGAGAACGTTGTAAGCATCTAGTTTCTAGGGGGAGAAAATGAATCCAGCTCGATTCTATTAAGTCCATTCTTTTGTTCAGACATCAAATTGTAGTTAGCCATCTGAGTTTCTGAACTATTTGACTTAACAGCGTATTGTCAGAAACCTTGCTAACCTATGAGACACATTTGACCCTTTTCAGATGTGTTTTTCCCTCTGTGGAGAACCCTGTGAAGAGTGCATCATTCATGCGTAGTGACCGGGAAAGTGGTTTTCGGAATGGCGCTGTCAGTTGGAATTTGTTATCTGTACTCTATTACTGTTTAGAATTTCATTTGTTGGAGGGGGCAGTGATTTTTTTTTTATGTGTTTCTGACAACAAAAAACTTAAATGCCTAGGATACCTTTCAGTCTTGGGAAGGGTTGTTTGATAGGCACCTCAAGGTACTGAGCGAGCCTACTGGCTTTTTTTTTTTTAATGTTTATCATTTCATAGTTCAATATTGGAATTTCTTTTCCCTTTTATTACCTTTCTTTGGGGGGGGGGCATGGTGCAGGAGTATGTGGACAGGAGTGGAGGTTAGAAGATAACTTTGAGGATTTCTTCTTTTGCTGCGGTTCCATCTCAGATCATCAGCCTTTACATGCTGAACCATTGGAATTTCTTAGTAAATAAAGCTTTAACATTTCTCTGAATTAGTGATTCTGCAAAAAAGATGTAGAACAAACTGAAATGAAATACCAGATCAGTGATTCCATACATTTCCCCCCAGAAACTTGTGAAAGCCACGACAGCTGTTTCTCCTGTGCTAATGTTACCATTGGTAATGCTACTAAGTGCTCTTGGACGGAATGCCAAGGTAAGAAACAGAGTTCTGCAGTTTAAAAAAGTAAAACTGTTTGATTATAGCATATTTTAAGATTTATTTTTTATTTGTATATGAGGGGGATGGCATGTGGGTGTCAGTGCTGGTGCCTGTAGAGGCCAGAGCCTGTAACTGGAGCTGGAATTACAGGTGGTTTTTAGCCACCTAACATGGTGGGTGCCAGGAATTGAACTCAGATCCTCTGAGCTATCTCGCTAGCCCTGGTATTACAGTGGTTAAATAACAAAACTACAGTGTATTAACTATTTGAAAATTTCTGTCGAATATTGAAGATATTATTTATTTTGTAAAACAAATGCTTTTAAAGCACTGGTTGTTTAACACTCCCCCTGGAAATCTCCCCTCCTTCTAACCCTTTGAATTTCTTAAACTTGACTACTAAGGCTTATTAGTAGCTTGCTTTTATTTATTTTTGAGACAGGGTCTCACTCTGTAAACCTAAAGAGAGATTTTATTGTAAGGATTAAAGTGTGCTGGGATTAGCTGTGAAACTTAAGTTGTGTAACTTTCCTTTGGAAACTGTTATTTAGTTTTGCCAGGTGAACTGTAAAGAGACCTTGCGGAACTTCAGTTGAATGTTCGCTTAGATATAAGGGGAGGGATAAAGGGAGAGTTGACTCTTAACTATGCTTTTGTTAAAGGTAGTTAACTTTGTGAACATTTGAAGGATAAGTACTAGAAGTTAATTGAAATGTCAGATTTTTCTTAGAATTATGGCATTACAATAAAATTACTCTGTTCTCTTGAGGTAAGGTGATTGCAATTTTTCCCTATCAGCACAACAGTCTGTTAGGGATGCTTTTGTTTTTTTGTTTTAGTTTTGGTTTGGTTTGGTTTACATCCCTGGAAGTACAGAAAACTATAGTTTTGTTTTTTCAATAAAGACAGAACTATCACACATAAAGTTCAAAATGCTCTTTAAAACTAAAGTATTAACTTTTTGTGATGTTTGTCATTGTGATATAAAGTGGAACTTAAGGGTGGCAGTGTGTAGCAGTTGTTGAGGCTTGGAGATTGATTAAGTACCCTAAGAATTTGTTAGAGAAGGCTCTCCCTTTACTCCAAGTCTGCCCATTCTGGAAGACTATTTTAGAAAGTAGAGACAACTAAGCTGGGTGTGGCAATCCCAGTATCAGAGGGAGGGGGTGGGAGGGGGTAGGTAGGACAGCTACATCAGGGAGATCAAGAGCCTGGGCCCTACTGCCAGGAACTCTCCTGTTTTGTTTGTTAAGACTTTAAAAGATCCTGACTACATCTCACTAACTTGTAGATTTTTACTGTTTATCTGTTCGGTATATTCAGATGGATTTTAAAAGGATAAAATTGGGGCTACTTGCATTATCTCCAAGACATTGGGAGAATAGCACTTTTGTTGCTCCTCATACTGTTGTTGTTGTTTTTTTTTTTTAAATACACAAGGTCTCACTGTGTAGCTGAAGCTGGTTCTCCTGCCTCGGTTTCCAGAGTGCTGGGAGTGGTGTATACCACCAAGCATGGTACCTGGCTTATAACTTCTGAAGTATTCTTTGGGTTGGGTTGGGTTTTTTAGCACTGTCCTGGGGCTTAGTGGAAAAGTCAAAGGTAATATAAGTAATTGGTGTTCTTTGTCTTTTTTTTTTTCCCCCTAACAGATAAGAGTTACTGTTCAAGTAATTTAACATTGAACTGTACCCTGGTGAACAACACTAACTTCTGTTCTGGTAAGTTTTCACATTAGCTGCTGGTGAAAGTGATTCCAGAGGAGTGGGATCATTTTTTACCTCAAAGTATGTTTCAGCCTTTTGAAGCATCACTATCATTTTAAATTTTTAAACATTTAGATATTAGTAACATTCATATTGATAAGAAAGATGATAATTTAAATCTTGATTTCATGATTTAGCTATAAGATGCTATAAATATAATTTCCTGCTTTAAATTTTTTTTCAAGCTGTGTGCTAATGTTTAGTACCCACCTTTATTGTATTTTACATGCTTACCAACCTTGTTCTCTCACATTCTGGGTTATGGTATTGGTGGTTATCATGTTTTAGTTCCAGTATAGTTTGTGTTATGGCTAAATAAACTGGTCCTTCCTCCTCTCCCCTCCTGTCCTTCATGCTCTTCCCTTTTTCCCTCCATTCCTTCCTTCCCTCACTCATGTTGCTCCTATTGGCCTCAAGTTCTGTATCTCACTGTAGTAGCTGAGAATGCCCTTGAACTCTAGATCCTTCCTGTCTCTTAACCTCTCAAGTTCTGGGATACAGGACTGAGCTACCATGCCCAGCTTACAACTGGTTTTTCAAATGTTATAAGTTAATGGGAACATCAAACTCCAATTTGGTATGAAGATAATTGAATAGACTAAAAGATGTTTGTAGAAAGTGTCAGTAACCATTGAAGACTACTCTTTTTTTTTTTTTTTTAATATATAATTTTATATTTTGGTTTTTTGAGACAGCATCTCACTATGTAGCCCTAGCTGATCTGGAACTCACTGTGCAGACCAGGCGACCAGGCTAACCCTGAACTCACAGAACTCCACCTGCCTCTGCCTCCTGAGTGCTAGAATTAAAGGCATGTCCCACCACACCAGGCTTGACTATTCAGTTTTGATAGGGCTTTCCCCATCCCGTTGCAAACTTTCAAGAAACTCATTACTGTTAGATTAATTTTACCCTGTGTAGAGTGCATAATTCTGGTTAAGTCATATGTGAACAAATATTTTTAATAGTTACTTAGGTATATTTTAGAAAAAATGCTAACAGACCTTTTTTAGTTTCCTAAATTGCTTGGAGATAAGAGTAGGTAAAAATTTTTAATGTTGAGTTAAAGAAAATTTAAGTAATGCGGTAGTGTATTTGATGATACAGGCTTAGTTCTGAGCATTGAAAGCCATAACTCCCAAACTTCTCAATTACAATTAAGCAAATTTCTCAAGCAAAAGAAATTTAGGCTAGAATCCAGCTAGAAGTGTAGAGTAGCATTTTTACAACCATCAGGGACTCGGCCTCCTTGTAGGTTGTCTTTCTGAAATTACTCAGATAGCCTTGGCCTTACTGTCATGGGTGTTCGTGTTACATTGATTTTTTTTTTTTTTTTTTTTTTCCCCTCCCCTTGCCAGCCAGAAGGGAAAGAGAAAGCACAAACGGATATGCCTTGTACATGATTGTTAGAAACTACATACGGTTAATAAGTTGTGAGAGAGACTAAGAATGTCTTAGGGGAAGCCAGATGCTACTAAAAATTGATGGCTCCATTTCTAAGGAAGGGGAAGTTGTTATTAGGAGGTGTGGGTGACTTATCTCTTCCAAAGGTGGTGCTTATGTGTGATACTATGAATAGTAGTCCAGCGATTGAAGATTGAGAAACTGTTGTACATTTATTTTAGACAGCAATAACGTGTACCTTTCTTTTCTAATAGTGCCTACTACCACTCCAGTGCCAACCAATTCTACAGGTAATACAAATTAATGGACTCTTTTCTCTTTTATAACTTTAAGCCCTCTTGATAGCTTTTTAGTTAAAAGTTGTTGGTATCGTTTTTAAAGATTAGCAAACTTAATCTGATTTTGGATCACAGAGATTACTTAAATGTATACTATTCGTGACAGTGCACATAACTCCAATGTTTCACAGTCAGGCACATTTGAATTGTTTTTTTCCATCTTACTGCACAGTGGTATACACTTTACTCTTTGTGCTTATGGTTGTACGGTTAGGTCATTTCACTGATGCAGTGACCATCCTGCAGTAGTATTTGTTAACTTCTGATAACTGTGATTAAAGCACAGTCCCTAGAGAGAGAACATGATTATTTAAGGCACCATACTGATTGCTTTTCAGAAGAATTTGTGGTTTTCAATTTAGTCAACTGGAGAAAGTATTCATTCCATTCCCAATCTACTAATTCAGTAGAAATTTGCTCTTTACACATACTGAGTCATCTATTCCAGGACGAGTACCAGGCCATATGATGAGAATGTAGGGGCATAAATAAGCTAATATTTTATTGCTGTGTTTATGAAGTCAGTGTATACTGTGTGTTGGGAAATTTGTAGGTAGGGTATGTGTTAAGTGGGACAGAGATGTGCTGATAGCCTGTGGGAGATAGTGACTGACTGAATAACACTGGAAAATATATTGAGAACTTCCCAGATAGAGCAAGATGATCCACACATACAGAGGAGCTAGGAGAGAACAGTGAGGTTTTAAGAAGTATCCTTAATGGTGGATTGTGGTGTATGCTTTTAAACCCAGCACTTGAGTCAGAGGCAGGTGGATCTCTGAGTTTGAGACCAGCTTGGTCTACATAGTAAGTCCCAGCCAGCTGGGGCTACAGGGAGACCCTATCTCAAAGAAAAAGGAAGTCCTCTGATTTCAAAACATGTGCTGTGTCATGGAGGTGCTGGCTCACATAGACACTATAAATGACATGCATATAGAGGACTTAGATGTTATCTTGAAAGGTTTTAAGTTGGTGGGTCATATGTCCAGACTTCTATTTTTATTAAAATACAGAGTGCAGAGTAGATTAGAAGACCAAAATGATCTTGACATCAGCTGCAAGGGAGGTACTCATGTTGTAGAAACCTGCAAATGCTACCAGATTTATTTTGAGTGGATTGTTAAATGATATGCTCATCTTTAGTACTTGTTAGAAATCATTGAAGAAGATGGTAAAAGTTGGTGAAAGCAGTTGTGTTGGGAGAAAACTAATTCCAAAAGGTGGGACATAAGCAGAGAGAAATTCCCTCAGCCATCATGGGTTTGATTTTAATTTCCTCTCTATCATGAGTCCAATTTTTAAAATTTTTTGCCTTGTATATCAAGACGGAGTCTCCCTGTAGCCGCAACTGGCCTAGAACTCAACAGAGATCTGCCTGCCTTTGCCTCCCAACTGCTGGGATTAAAGGTGTGTGCCTGGCTTAATGTCTGTTTCTTAATGTAGTTCTCTACTTTCACCTTGTGTTCATGAGCCATGGCCTTCTTGATCCCTTAAGTGGAAGATGCCCTCAGAAAATGGATCAGAAACCTTAGGTGGTCTCTTTCCATGGCTTGTACATTGCTGACTAAAGATGAGAATTTGAATTTATGTAGAAAGGGGTTCAGTGAAGTTAATTATAGTAGCTTCCCTCAGTACAAATAACATCAGTAACAGTGTAATGATCAAATGCCTGAACTACAGTGAGATGTTTAAGATAGATTCAAGTGGAAGACAAATTGGGGTTAAGCATGTAGTATTGATTTAGTTTTTGTTACATGACTGGAAGTAGTGTGTTATTCTATTTATTACTAACAGTTTTTATAACTTAAGAGGGTTTAATGAACATACAGTAAGAGTTATATTTAGTAAAGTAGTACCTTATTTTGAAAATACTGGCAACATAATACTATTTTCAAAACAAAATTGTACAAATGTTTTACCTATTTATATAAAGAATTAGTGGGACTGGAGAGATTGCTCAGTGGTTAAGAGCACTGACTGCTCTTACAGAGAACCTGGGTTTAATTCCCAGCACCTACATGATGGCTAACAACTGTCTGTAACTCCAGTTCCAGGGGATCCAGCACCCTCTTCTGACCTCCATAGGCATCACACAACATGGGTGTGCTTACATACATGCAGGCAATACACTCTTACACATAAAAATAATACATTTTTCAAAGAAAGTTATTAATTCCAAGTTATAAGTTCTATTCTCTAGAAAAATCAAAGCATACTTTAGAAAGTAACATGTTGGATACTTGGGAAGTTAGAAATTTACAGTTTTTAAATACATTTTGTTTTCATTCCAGCTAAATCCACAACTCCGTCTTCATCTCCTACCCCCACACCCACTGCTGTCACCTCAGGTAAAGAACTTTGGTACTAATATAGGATGGTCCCATGTAGCATTGCCTTTTTCTAGCTCTGACTTCAGGTTCATTTTGTTTTATTCATGAATAACTGTGGGCTGAAACTCACCTCCTAATCTAGAGAGTCATCATGGTAAGCTGTTTAAACTCTGCTTTGAGTCTTCTAGTTCTAATGTGTAATCACAATTGGCCTGACACTTCAGATAGAAGTGTTGTTTTCCTAAAACCTTTTCCTAAAAGAACTTACATGTGAAATCTGATTTGTACTACCAGTTAAACTTGCTTGGGTGCTGAGGAGTCTCCTACGTTTTGCAATTCCTCTGGCTTCTACTGCCTTTGGTTTCAGGGATGCCATTCCTTCTTCACAAAAAGAAATATAAGCAATTGCAGTGAATTTTGTTTTGAAGTTGGTCAACTTTTATACACATACCAGAACCAGGGTTTAGTATTCTACTTAAGACTAAATTAAAAATTTATTTTAAATTTTATTAAAATGGATGTTACTTAGTTATATATAGCCCTTTTAAAAATTCCTCTTGAAACATTTTACTCTTTGAGAAGAAACTGTAGTTTTTAATGTTCTTTTTCCTTGAAATTTGGTAATAACTTTCTCATACAAAAGTAATTGACAGTAGTATTTAGACACTTTTAATAATGAGTTACTTTGTAGAAATTCTAGTTTTCATATTTTCCTTAGGACTTCATAGTGCTTTCTCATAATGCAAATTTAAATGAAAAGAGACTACTTAATATATTTTTAATTATGTCTTATTTCCAATTATAAATTGAAAGTAACCTAAGGTTATTTTTGTAACTTAAAAAATTGCAACTGAATTACCTAATATATCTAATAAAACCCAAATGCCATAAAGTTTTAACACAAATATTAATATTTACTATAGCAATTAACCAAAAGTAAATTAACAATTATTCTGTTTTAGAAGGTCTTGATAAATTGCAGAGGTATAATTTGTTTGCCAGAAAAATCCGTATTATTCTCAGATTTGAAACATTCTAGTGTATTGCCCAGTTTATCCTTGGACAGGGGAAAGAATGGTATCGATAAATGGTTATTTTCTTAATTAGGGAGAAATTCTAGTTATAAAGACAGGAGAAGATCTTTTATAGAATTTACTCATGGAAAAATAGATGCCTAGATGAGTCTTGAAATTATCATGAGATTTACTGACGGTTATTTATTTTATCATATCAGGTGCAGCAAATACCACTTTGACTCCAACCTCACAACCTGAGCGGAAATCTACCTTTGATGCAGCCAGCTTCATTGGAGGAATTGTCCTTGTCTTGGGTGTGCAGGCTGTAATTTTCTTCCTCTACAAATTCTGCAAATCTAAAGAACGAAATTACCACACTCTGTAAACAGACCCATTAAATTAATGAGGACTGGCAATTCATTTGTGTAACTCACTGAAACCAAAATATTACCTTTCAAGATGTCCCACGTGGAAGACGCTGTTCCAGGATCTTTAACTTTCCAAAGGATGCATATAGGATACTTTGGAGTATCTTTGAAGAAAAATGAGTTAAACCATTTCACTCAACAGGAATATTTAAAATATTCTGCATGAATCCTTATGGCTGTCTTCTTTTGTTTAAAATGGCTGCTGCTGTGGGATTATGTTTCTTTCCTTGACATGCCAAATGTAACCTTTTGTAAATGATGGAAAATTGTCCTGTTCTGGCAACCTCCTGTGGCAGTTTAAATTTAGTCGTTTTAAAACCTGAAATTGCATTATTTGCATCCTAACTTAGTGGCCAGAAATGAGCAGTGTGCCAAATGAGCATCAATCAGGTTGATTTGGAACTATCATTTCAAAAGTAGATTTACCTTTAGTACTGAACTGTATCCTTAGATTAAAAATTTGTGCTTGGTAAGTTATTTTTTTCAACATTAGAAATAAGATGCCACACAGGGAACATTCCAGATTTAGAGAAATGAAACGATACATGCCATTAATATGTAACAGGTTATTGTTCATACTCATAAAGCACCTTATTGAGAAAACAGAACAGTGCCTTAAGACAGACTAAAAGTTGGCTAGAGCTTAAAGTGTGATATGTTTCACGTTAGGAGGGAGGTAAAAGGTTGGTCTGAGAGTGTAACTGTTGATGTGAGCAGTAGTAAACCTGCTTTTAGATAACATACTGTTAGTATTTAATTAAAAACATGGGTTTTTTTTTTCCAGGGCTGAGAAAAGTAGGCTAAAGAATAATTCTAAGCTGAAAACCTTCATTCACCCAACCTCCCAACATTTTTTCTTAGGGCTATTGAATGGGCATAAAATTATTTTTCCTCTCTACACACACACACACACACACACACAACACAAATCCAAATATACCTTGAAGGGATTTCTACCACACTGTCTTGAGTGGTAGCTTTACATGAGACAAGAAGGAAGTTTGAGAATCATCCATTTCTTTAAATGAGACAATCACTTTGTTTTCTAGCAGATGTGACTTATAATTTCAGAAAACCTGAGGATTTTAGATGAGATTACTCTAGATTTTTAGTAATGGTGTCCTGAATGAATACACTGTTAGTTTTGTTTCTGTTTTTCCTCTCTCCTTACCCTTTTTTTCTTTCTGTTGTTCCCTTCCTCCTCCTGCTTTCAGTTCTATAGGATAATCATGCGTACTTTTATTTCTGTAGCTTCTTGTAAGCACTCATTTCTTTTAGGTTTAGAGCATTCTCCCTTGCCTTTGACACTTTGGACTAGTTCAGAGGCTCTAATTAGTTGAAAAATGGGCTTTTTTGGTTCTAGGTCATTATTTTCGTGTTTTAGTTTCTATAGAGTAGCTGAGTTTAACACTTGGCTTGCAATGTTTTATAGTAGGAAATGACAGACTGGTTTGTTTCATAAACTGAAATTCGTTTGTATTCTTAAAATGAAAAGCTACTGGTTTCTTTCTCATTTGCTGGTACAGCTAAAATTCGTTTAACTTGCACATTTGTATATACACCTAATGTTTTCAAGTGCCTTAATTGTTTAAAATCTCTGGCTTCAAAGGTTTTTGGGGAAAGATAGGTTTACCTCACAGTTTTGTTTTCTTTAGTAATATTCTCGGTACCTCAGAATTTATAATGGTGCCATGGCTGTTTTTAGTGAGTGCTAAAATTTATTTGAAAATACAGAGGATTTCCATTCCTTGAAAGGTGGATAATTGTCATTTACCTGGATGTGAATCCTTGCCCCATATTAATGTCAAAACATGTAGCATGTTTTGTGAAATTAATTTGAAGCTTCTGTAATTTTGAGCACTGCTCTAATATAATAGGAAGTTTTTGCAAGTCTACAAATGAACTCTGAGACCGAATTCACAGCCTTGCTGACTCTTTCCCCTCTTTGTTTAGCAATTGTAGTATTTTGAGCCATTAATGATTTTTGGGTGTTTTTAATCCAGAAGGTATATAGAAACCTTTTCAGATTTTTCATCTGATTTGTTCCTGCAGATCTAGTTCTATCAGAAACCTTATTTTACCTTACTGATGTTTGTTGCACAAGCAGACTTTGCTGTACTTAGAAATTTCTATTTGAGTTCTTTAAAAGCTACAAAACTAATCTGTATCTGTACCAAACTGATTTAAAATAAATGTGTTTATTGAATTAATCTCTATTGTCACATTTTTATTATGAAATTGCTAGCAGATGGTAAGTAAACTAAGTTAATAGAGAACAGAACCTTAGAAATGATAGAAGATGGGAGAAACATGAAAAATATAATCCTGTTTTTTATTTCTGAAAGCCTATGACTTCCTGTCTTTTAAAAAATTGATTTTTAGGACAAGTATGTGGAGGTCAGAGGACAACTGGAGAGCCAGTTCCTTCCGCCTTGACCAGAGTTCCAGGGTTGGAACTGATTGTGAAGTTCACATCGCAAGTTCCTTTACCACACTAAGCCATCTCACTGGTCCATTTCCTGCCCTTTTAATTCAGAGTTCATGTGAAACGAAACTGGCTTCTGTTGAGAGTGGCAGCCCACCAAGCCACGTGCTGGCATATGAAACCTGGTTCTGTTGGATCCTGTGCAAAAAATGTCTGCATTTAATCACTTGAGTTGCACTGTGAAGAGGTTATTTAATACCCCCATGTAAGTCTGAATACCCCTAAGCATAGACTTGGTGATTTGCCTTAGAAATCATAAACTAGGTTCCATTAGTCGTATATATGGTCATTTGGTAATTATGTAAAGCCTTAAACCAAGCTTAGCTTCTTAAAACATCGAGATGAGTTATTAAGTAACACATCCCCAGTGTGGTAACACACCTTTAATCCCAAGCACTTGGGAGGCAGAGGCAGGTCGAGGTCTGAGATTGAAGCCAGCCTAGTCTATATAGTGAGTTGCAGGCCAGCTGGGGCTACGGGGAGACTGTCTCAAAACAAAACAAAAAAAAAAGATAACACAGGGTGAAATGGTTTTGTATGTTTTGACCCACTACCTGTGTTTATTATGTATGTAGATAGCCTGACTACTGGTATTTTTCAAAGGATGTCCATTAACACATTTTAGGACTGTTCTTTGTTGGTATAGCTATTAAATTCAGCTTTTTTTCTAATTTATATTTTACTTTAAATGTATAAATATTGTATTCATTATAGATGATTGCCATTCAATGTCTTTGCTTTAGAAAGTTTTTTTCTTGGATATGGAATTCAAGTTTGACATTTTTTTGCCATACATACTTGTAGGATTTTGGTCCATTGTCTTTTCACTTGAATTGTGTCATGACAAATCTGTTACTGTCTTTTGTTCTATATATGTCTGTTTTTCCTCTGTTGCTGATTTTGAGCAAATAATGGGCTGTGGTGTAGCTTTGTTTCTTGTGTTTGAGATTTATTGAGCTGCTTGGGTCTGTGGTTTTCATATTTGGAAGACTTCTAACCATTTATACTGTCCTCTCCCTTTGCCTTGCGGGGAGGGATTCCAGTTTCCAGTTACCCAGAAGCTGTTAGAAACTGATCCACAGCCCACTGATGCACTTTTTTTTTTTTTTTTTTTTTTTTTTTCTGATATCTAAATCTGCTTCTCAGTAATGTTCAGTTTATTCTAGGTAATTAGAATTGTTCTTTTAAGTTCAGTAGATTTTCTAGTATGTCTATACTTAGTTTTAATGGTAGAGTAATACCTTTTAATACCCTTATCTGAAAATGCTAACATTTTTATATTCATATTTTCTTTGTTCAAAAAATACATTTACTTTAAATTATGTGTGTGCGTGTGTAGGTATGTGCACCTGAATGCAGGTGCCAACAGAACCAGAAGAGGGTGTCAGATCCCCTGGAGCTGGAGTTACAGGCAGTTGTGAGCCACTAGATGTGGGTTCTGAGAACCAAATTCAGATCCTTTGGAAGGGCAGTATGTACTCTTTTAACTGCTGACCCATCCTCCCATTTTCTTTGTTCTGAAACAGTTAAGTGCAGCTTCAACACTTGTCTTTGACCTGCTGCCACAGGAACTATAGACATACCAGGAAATTCTACTGAGCCTAAAAGAACAATTGTAATTATCTAGTATTCCTTAATCTTGATTTTCATCTCAATTCTGGAAGTCCTCTGGTTTATGCCTGGGCTCCCTGACCCTATATTCCAAGCAGGAGGCTGGATCTTGTCTTTCAGGGATCAATTTTGTTGTTTTGTCTTACATATTAGAAAACCACTTAAATATTTTGTCCACTTTTTTAGTTTGAGAATAAATGTTGTCTCTCTTCATTTTGATGAAAAGTTCAAGATCAAGCCAGGTGTGGTCATACATTCCTGTAGTCCTACCATTTGGAAGACAGAGGTTGTAGATCAGGAGTTCAAGCCAGCTTCTACATAGTGAATGTGTCTTAGTTACTTTTCTCTTTGCTGTGACCAAATAACTGGGAGGGCAGCTCAGAGTGGAAAAGTTTATTCCAGCCCACACTTGAGATGCATTCTCTTGAAGGGGGCAGGAGGGGGAGGATGACAACAGGAACTTGTTCACATCTCAGTAGACCAAGAAGCAGAAAGGAATACAGGAATCCATTAGGCTTTCATACACTTTCTCAAAATTCTTTTATTCAGTGGACATTCAGCCCACATTTAGAATAGATCTTCCCTCCTTAATTAAACCTTTGGAAACCTCCTCAGTTCCCCAAAGAGATAGGTTCCTTTAGCAGTTCTAAAGTTTAGGTTGATGTGGTTAACCATGTTTGACACTCAAACATTACTTTTAAACCATAAATATCACCCCTGACCCCCTCATAAGCTCATGGTCAACTCGAAAAGTAAAATGAATTTTACTTCAAATGTCCCACGGTCTTAACAGTATGAACACTTCAAAATTACAGGTCTGTTCTGAGACTAAAGGCAATCTCTTTAACAATGAGCCCATAAAATCAAAACACAAATTACATACGTCTAATATACAATGGTGTAGAATAAACATTCTCATTCCAAAAGGTAGGATAATAAGGAAAGACTTGACCAAAGCAAGACCACCTGCAGGAAAAACTGCACCTCCATGCTTAGCATCTTGAGCCTTTCTCTCAGTCCATCACTCCATATCTACACCTTTCCTTGGTGGACATCCCATGGTCCGCATGGTGTGAGCCTTTGTGGGAAGACATGAACATACTCTACTCATGCCACATGAGTAGAAACAGTTACACCAAAGTTCATCCTGGAGAAGCAGTGAATTTATTTGGGTAACTTTACAGGTGCCTGGGTGACAGGTAACTGCATCACTGAGAAGTTTGCCCAAGTCTGAGCTGACTCAGGAAAGCTACAATCCTGGAGCTTTGTGCTGGATGTGCAGCTGGACAGGTTGGAGTGCCTCCCTTCTCCACAGCAATCTTTACTGCTGGTAACTTTGGGAGAGGGAGGAGCCTTGTGAATCATGTAAGTTTTGGAAACTTAACTTGAGACTTCTGAGTTTTTACTCTAGTCTTAAGGAACCTCCCTCAAGGATGAAATGGATCAAGTTGGAACTTGAGTCTTAAGGAGCCTCCTCTCCAGGATTGAAATACTTCAAGTTAAATTTCCAGTCTAAATTTCCTCTCTGAGATTGAGGCCAGCCTGGTCTATATAGCCATTTCCAGGCCATCTAGAGCTACAGGGAGACCCTGTCTCAAAAAACAAAACAATAAATACAAAATTAGCTAAGTCTTAAGGAACCTTCCTCCAGGATGGAATGTTTGAACTGGGAGGAAATTGCTTCCTAACACACCTCCCATACCCAGGGATTTTGTTCTATTTAGCTTTAACTGTCATCTTGACAGCATAGAATCTAACCTGAAAAATGAATCTCAGTTGAGAGATTTCCCAGATGTAACTGGCTTGTGGGTATGTCTTTGGGTCTTGTCTTGATAATTGATGTAGGAGAGCGCAGCCCACTGTGGGTGGCACCATTCCTTGGGCAGGTAGTCTTGAGCTATACAAAAAAGCTTGATAAGCATGTGCCTAAGCAAGCTAGCAAGCAGCGTTCCTCCATGGTTTCTGCTTCAGGTTCCTGCCTTGACTTCCTTCCGTGGTACTAACTGATCTTAAAAGTATAAACCAAATAAATCCTTTCTTCCTCTAAGCTGCTTTTGGTCTGAGTGTTTTATCACAGCAACAGAAAGGAAATTAGAACTGCTCTCTAGTGAAACTTGAGTTTTACCTTCATAGCTTCATGCAAAGACTTTTTTGGCCACTTTGCAGACAATCTGGTCTTCCTTCAACAGCAGCTTCCTGGAACCTTGGGGAAAGCCTCCATGACCACATAACTTGGATTTCGCATGTCTGTAAAACTAGTGCCATTCAGATAGTGCATAGACCTTCCTGCCTCCACCTTGTCGTCGGTGCTGGGTTTATAGGGATGTGCCACCATGCCCAAAATTTTTATGTAGATGCTGGGGCTTGAACTCAGGTCCTCCTGGTTGTATAGCAAGCACTACCAACAGAGCTGTATCCCCAACACCTCAAAGTTAAAATTATTTTAACTGATACATAAAACAAAATTTTATAATAATAAAGTACCACGTGATGGTTGCAATACATGTATACATTATTGTGTACTGTTTAAATGTTAAATACACATCTCAAACCTTATGAAAACATCCAAGGTCCTTTCTTCTGGACTTTTGAGGTACACAGTGCATGTTTGTTATATGTTGTGACCCTACTGTGCAATAGCACACCAGAATTTCTTTCTCCAATCTAAGTATGACATGTTTCCATTGATCAGCCTTTTTTGTCTCCCTTACCTATGCTTCCCAACCTCTGATAAGTACTACTCCACTCTTACCTTCAGTGAGATCAGCTTTTTAAGATGAGTGAGATCACAATAGTGCTTGTCTTTCTGTCTCAGGCTTAATTCACTCAATAATGAGCCCCAATGTCCTCCATGTTCATGAATGACTGGGTTTTCACTTTTCTAATGTTGGACTAGTAGTCTATATATGTACCACATTTTCTTTATTCATTTTTCAGTTACTGGTAGAACTTGTGGGTATCTTAACAGGTTGGAGTACCTCTTCCTTAGGCAGCTCTCTTGGCTGAGTGTCTCTCAGTAGCCCTTACTGCTTATGTAAGCTTGGGGAGGGAAGGGGGCACCTAGTGAACCTGGTCAGTTTCAGGAGCTTCCTAAAACTATTGAGTTGTTTACTTCTTAAGTTTAACTAGCTAACTAACTGGGCAGGATGGAATATTTCACCTCCCTTTAGAACATCCTGATGTCTTAAGCTTCCCTCCAAGATGGAAAGTTTCATCTCAGAGGAAATTGCTATACAACAATGGCTCAGTGGGTTGAGTGCTCACTGGACAAGAGCAAGCAGTAGTCCAGAGCTTAGATTTCCCAGCACCTATGTAAAAGCCAGGTGTGGTGGTGCATACCTGTGATCCCAACACTAGGAGCCAGAGGCAGGAAGCATCCCAGAGATTCACTGAGCAGCCAGTCACACCAATCAGCGAAGGTTCAGGTTTAAGACCCTATCTCAAAAAGTAAGATGTAGAACAATTGGGGAAGACACCTAACATGGACCTCTGACCTCCACATAGATATATGTGCACTCAGAAAGAAGCAGTGCCATGGAATGTCATGATGGTAGATAAAGCGATCTATGAGTACACGAATTGGTTAGCGATTAGCGGTGCTGGTAGAAGCGTTATGGCCAGGAAAGAATATATGTGAGTGAAGATGAATCTCTGGTCCTTTGTTAATGAAAGAAGTTGAATGTAATCAACCTGTCACTAGACTTGGTTGTCATCTATGAGTCTGTACCTACTTTGTGAGGTCCAGGCAAATGAGAGACCCTGTCTCAAAAAAGTGTTAGCTGGAGAGATGGCTTAGTGGGTAAAATGTTTTCCACACAAGCATGGGGACCTGAATTCTAATCACCAGAAGCCACATGAAGCCATTACATGTACATCTGTAATTCCAATGTTCCTCCAGTGAGGTGGAAGATGAAGACAAGAGAAACTTGAGGACCAGCTAATCTGGTGTTTGCAGCAGGAAATAACAAAGAGACCCTGTCTCAAGAAAACAGGAGGCTAGACCAACACTAAGGTGATCTTCTGACTTCTGCATGCACTTTGTGGTATGTATGCACCTGCACTCATATACATGAGCATACATGTGGACACACACATAAAATACAGTGGATTATGTGAAGGAACCACACCAGAGTTTGACCTGGAATCCACATGTACACATGCATGCACACAAAGGAAGAAAAGTTTCGGCTGCAGTGTTGGGGTCAGCCCATGGTTATTTGGCCCTGCTGCTTTTAGGCCTGTGGCAAGGTGACACATCAAGTAGAGATGTGTGGTAGAGGAAAGTGCTTATCTCCCATGGCCAGGATGCAAAGAGTGAAAAGAGGTGCTGGGGTCCCAGTATCCCCTTTGAAGGCACACCTGCAATGTCATCCATAGCTTGCTGCTATTGGCTTCACCTGTCAAAGTTTCCACTAATTCTAATAGCACATGAACTACAAACCATGTGGGCCTTTGGGAGATACTTGAGGTCCAAACTCTAGTAATATATAAATTTGTGTATGTAAACATATTTCTTTGATCTGTTCCATTCATCTCTTTATTATTTTTTTTATCCAAGACAGATTTTTCTTGTCTAAACAAGAAAAAGACTTGGATTAGGACTTACTAAAGTTTGAGTACAGATTTAGCATTTGTAGAAAGAAATGAAAAGACTGTAGAGAACGGATGGTACATTTAAGAAAAATAAATAACGCATTGAAGTTTGGATGAATCTTTATTCAACTACAATGCTTTTGTACTTCTTAGCAAATGCAGCTTAGCAGCAAGACACTGTCTTGGCTGATCCAATCTACCTTGTAACTGAAAAACTCAAACTGAGAGGCTGCTGGGCCACCAGAAACAAGAGATGGCTTGTAGAAATGAAAATTAAGGCTGTATTTTAAGATTTGGGGCCAATTCTGCTTTATCTGGACACTGACTACACCATCATCACAGGTCTTCACTATTGCCTTCCAAGTACTGGTAAGAAAAACTAGAGGAAAAGTTGAATGGAGCTGGAGTCACTCTTATTCATTCAAATGCACACAGAAAATAAAATTTGCCCAAAAAATTACCAGTGAGGTCTGGATGAAATTCTGGATGGAGCTGTTTGGACTTGAAAAGTTGTAAGTTGCACATTTTCTGCCGCATTGGGCAAAGCATCATCAATCCTTTTTTTGTGCTTAATCGGTACCTGTAATATCAAGTAGATATTGATATATTTTTAAAAGTTGAAAAATACTTCTTGCTGTAGCATAGCAAAGGGTCACTGCTGTCGATGAGACTAAAAGCACTGATTTTGTATAGCTTAGGCCTTGGGTGGGCCTTCTTGTCCATTCGTATTTTCTTTCTTTTTGCTACTTGTCATAAAGGGGACTCAACCAAGAATGACTCCATCAGTGAAAAGGCATTTCCAGGTAAGCAAGAAAAGACTTCCCAGCTTGGAACAACCTAAAAAAATTTTTAGTATTTTTTCCTTTTCTATTTAATTTTTTTTGGTCTTTTTGAGACAGAGTCTCAAAAAGCTAGCCTGGAACTTGCTATATAGACCATGTTGGCCTTGAACTCACAGAGATCCACATGCCTCTGCCTCCTGAGTACTGGGATTAAAGGCGTGCACCACCACACCTGACCTCCTTTTTTATTAATTTAAAAATTGTGATACTCATTTATTCTCTGTTCATGTATATGCCATATGTGTGTGGAAGTCAGAGGACAACTTGTAAAAGTCAGTTCTCTCCTTCCACCATGTGGATTGGGTCCTCAGACTGCCTTTACCTGCTGAGCCATCTTGCAGGCCCTATTATATCATTTGTGTTAGCACAGTTCTATTTTTTAGAAAATCATTTGTATATATATTACAGTGATGTATTAATTCCTCGTTCTTTATCTGACTTATCTCATAGCCCCTGCTTTAGGAAGTCTTATCATAGATAGGTTTGATGTGCTTCAAACTAATTCTGTATATTTCTTGTCCTTACAAAAAAAATAGACATGTTCTCCATACATGTGGGTTCTGTATTGTATCTATGGAGTCAACCAACCACAGATCAAAACTATTTGAAGAAAGATTGCATTTGTACTGAACATGAACAGATTATTTTTGTCATCATTCACTAAACAATATAGTATAACACTTATAATCTGCTGGGATTAAAGGCATAGTATTTAGTATTGTAAGTAATCTAGAGATGATTTAAAGTATATGGGAGGGTGTATATTGGTTATATACAAATACTGAACTATTTTATGCAAAGGACCTTAGCATTCATGGGTTTTGGTACCCATGAGGATCCTGGAACTAATCTCTCATGGACAACAATACTAGAATTTCACATTTTAGGGAGAGATGATTGCACAGAGGCTGAGAGGTCAAATTAATGTTAAGTAATAATATGGCCCTGATTTGGGAAGATCACACCAGAATGTACCCAACTTGTTTCTACCTTTGCTTTCCTGTCTTTCTCTTTTTTTTTTTTGAGACAAGTTCTCCCTGTAGCCCCAGCTGTCCTGGAACTCACAAAGATCTGCCTGCCTCTGCCTCCCAAGTGCTGGGATTAAAGGCATGTGCCACCACACCCGGCTTACCTTTTCTTTTTTAAAAAATATTTTATTTATTATTTTCATTTATGTGTGAGTATATTGCCTACATGTAGGTAAATGCACCTGTGTTGTGCAATGCCCGAGAAGGTCAGAAGAGGGCATCAGATTTCTTGGGACTGGAGTTATGGGCAGTTGTTAGCCACCATATGGGTACTGGGAACCGAACCCAGGTCCTCTGCAAGAGCAGCCAGTGCTCTTAACTGCTGAGTTATCTCTTCAGCACCCCACCCTTTCTTAGTTGCATATTTTAAAATGCTTCAAGAAACTTTGAGTCCAATAATTAGACCACCTGTTGAGAATTGCACTTTCAAACAAAAGAAAGGTTGGGGTGAGCTGAGATGGCTCAGTGAATAAAGGTGCTTATCGACAAGCCTGATAACCCAAGTTTGATCCCCAGAACCTACAGGATAGAAGGAGAGACCTGACTACAGCAAGATGTCCTCTGGTCTCCACACGGTGCTGTGCGTGTGTGCACACAAAATCAGTCAATCAATCAATAAAAGGTTGGGAGGTAGAGGCAGAAGAATCAGAAGTCCAATATTACCCTTGGCTACGAAGTAAGTTCAACACCAGTCTGGACTGCACGAGCCCCTGTGTCAAATAGCTGTATCTTTAGTCCTCGTTTTGCTTTTTATTTTGAGGTAGGGTCTCATTGAGTTACCCAGGCTGACCTTGAACTCACTCTGTAGTCCAGGCAGGCCTTGAACTTGACGTCTTGCTTTAGCCTCCCCAGTAGCTGGGATTTCAGGTCTGCAGCACCAGGCCCAATTCAAATGTTATAATTTTTTTTGAGGAAATAACTACACTTTCCCCTTCTTTTCTCAAGGGAAGAGAGGAAGAACCACTGACTACATTAATTAAATATGTAAATTTCTAGATGACAATCTGAAAGATCATAAAGGTAGAATAATGGAGTAGAAGAGGGTATAAATGTAGTTTCATATAAGCTAAAAGTTGAAATTGAAAAAAAAGTCTCCAAATATATTTACTTTTCTGAATTCCAACAATGTCCTTGGAGGACAATTTCTCCTGTGTTTTAAAATGACTTCTAAAGTTCTTTATTCTCTTTCTGGGAACTCAGACAAGGAGTCTCATGCTGAAAATTAATTATCGTACGCGATTAAAGAAGAAATTCGGAGAGAGAACACAGCAAGGCATTGGCATTGATTTCTACAGCCACTGACTTAGTATGATGATCAATTTCACACTGATTGACTTATAATTCAGAAGGTGCCTCTGGGCTTATTTCAACGTTAGAATTGTGTTAAACAGATGCAAAGTACCTAGATATTATCCTGATATATAATTTTTCTCATGTAAGATTGAAGCGACCCTAAAATCGTAACACCAGATATAAATTTTTCTTGTTTCTTACACATAATCAAGCTACTGTCACTCACAGTCTTTGGTCTTTGAATTCTTCTTGTCATTTTATTGCCCATAAGATTAGTCTTTGGAAGATGTCGATGGGAGTATCTGGATGACGCAGAAGCAGAGTTTATGGAGCAGTGAGCCTGGGATATAATCCCTATAAAGTTAAATAAATAAATAATAAATACATAAATAAATAATAAACAAACAAACAAATAAGACCTCTAGTTGCAATGTGCAGACCTAGATTTAATTTATAAATTTGTAGTACTTAAATCTCTAATTCAAGCGAAGATGAAAAACATTAAATGGAGGGTTGTGTTGTTTTTTTTTTTGTTTGTTTTGTTTTGTTTGCCTGCAGGTAACATGACTAAGTGAAAAAGAAGACCATGGAGATTTGGCCTCTGGGAGGTAGACATGGACAGACTGAGGGCTGTTCACGTTAATATGATGTTCTGGCTCAAGCAACTAGGTATTCGGCAATACCATTTGCTAAGACAGTACCTCCTCCATCCCAAAAGTAGTCAGTCTGCAGGAGGAAAGGAAGACAGGCTGATTCACCAGTTGAACTTGTGAGCCTGAGACAGGAGCATAGAATCCAGTAGTCACTGGACATATGGGTCTAGAACTTAGAGAAAACTTTGGAGCTGCAGGTTTAGACTTGGCAAGCAATGATTAATGCTGTATGGAGAGGCAATTATCACCCAGAAGCAATGTGAGAAGAGGTCAGACAGCCCTGAAGGAATCCGATCTTTAGGGTTGGCTATGGGAGGAGGAACTAGAAAAGGAGACTTAGAAGCAACAGCCAACAGAGGAGGAAGCCTCAAGAATCAGTGGCATGGAAATGAAGAGGAAGACAGCTTGCAAATGTATATTTGTTTCCAACATTGCTCAGGGAGGATGTGAGGACTCAGTACTGTTCATTGCTCTTGGAGACATAGGGAGTCTGGTGATCCTGGCAAGGTCAGCGATAATGAAGGAGGAAGGATGACAAAATAGATTATAGGTAGTGTGACAGAGGCCTGGACTTGGTCCCCAAGTGCCATTCTTCCATTTCTTCCTTAGTAACAGAGCCCCAAACTTTTTGTTAGACATATAGTGACCTCAATAAAAGCTACATTTTCCCCAGTCTTTATGTGGCCTTCTGGCTAAATGTTGGCCAATAAGATCTATGTGGAAATGCCTAGGTAACTTCCAGGACATGCTCTTTAAGAAAGCAGTGAAGGCTTGAAGTTTTCTTCCTTCTTTTTGGCTAGAAAGCTTAAGCATCCATTTTAGATTGTGCGGTGGAAGCCACATATTGAAAATGGCAAATAATGAAAAAATTGGGTTCCCTATGGTAGCAGAGCCACAATAATCAGGTAAAAAGCTACCTCTGGACTTTGTTAGAATTAACTTCTACAATTAAGCCACTATATTCTCTCTCTCTCTCTCTCTCTCTCTCTCTCTCTCTCTCTCTCTCTCCTCTCCTCTCTCTGTCTGTCTCTTTATGTGTATGTCTCCCTAATAGATACAGGCTGTAGAATAAATTAAATAAAATGAACTAAGAATAATTTCAAGTAACTCTTTAAAGAAGTTTGACTATAAATGAGAAAAGATTGGCCAGTAGCAGAAGAAATACATAGTCCAGGGAAGTGTCCTTTTCAAGTTTGTTTGGCTGTCGTTTTTGCATAGCCCAGGCTTGGCCTCAAACTCTCAGTCCTTCCTGCCCTCACCTCCCAAGTACTGGGACTACAGGTTAGGATTACAGTCATGAGCCACCACACTTAGCTTCAAGGAAGATTTCTATTTTTAGTAGATTTTATGATCTTGACACATACATGATCAATACATAATTGCTGGTTGCAAGATCCAACAAGACGGGTCTGGATAAGGTGTCCTAGAGAACTGCCAACCAGGGCCCTTGGTAAACAGGAAACATGAATATGGAGAGAGGAAACACATAAAGATTTGTTCAAGATTCCTTAATGGGATCCTATCAACTGGGAGAGACCCCAGGGAGGAAAATGGGCACTGCAATTAGTCTTTTTTTCATGACTATAATGAAATACTGGAAGCAGGTGAACTCTAAAAAAAATATATAAATAAATAAAAAGGTTGATTTAGTTCACAGTTCTGGAGGATCAAAGTCCAAGGTGAAGAGATAGAGAGGGGTGTTGAGGTGGGTTAGAAGCTCAACTGGCCCATCCTCTAGTGAGAGCCTCCCTGAGGGAGCACTAATGAGATGAAAACATTTGGAAACAGGAAGCTGAAGCCAGAGTGCGTCCAGGGCCGGGTTTGCTCGTCCAACAACCCTCTTGACAGTTCAGCATGTTATGTAGTTAGACAGACATTAGGAGGCTTGGGGACCTCTGAGGTGTATCCATCCATCATAATTAGCTGTAACCTTCAAGATATAAAATGTCATATGAAAACGTAGAGGTATCAGGACTTTGCTGAGGCATATTAAAGGAAGACTACTTCCTCCTGGTCAAAAGAATAGAATCTGAGTTCTACCTCTATCCCTGGGTGAAGGCATGACATTCTAAAGCACCCAATATATTATACACTATTGTCATTTCCCTTAGAGTTAATCTAACCTGGCCTGTCAATCAGCTGGCCAGGAGACCACCCCTTAGGAATGCTGATTCACTGAAGATATGCTAAGGAGATGGGAGAAATAATTATGTCTTTAATGGGATGATGTATACATATACTGCCCAGAATTCTCTCCCCAATGCAGTTACTTACAGATCTTCATTGGCAAGCCTCTAACTTAAAACAATGCAACTTTTCTGAGTTCTGACTTAAAAAAATAGACAAAAAACTTTTCGTTTTCCACCTTTCTATCTCTTCTTTGGATATTGGCCAACATCCTAGCAAGTCTCCCAGACACTAGACTTTTTCTGAAGACCATACCCATGCCCCTCAGCAACTGCTTGCTGACCTTCATTGATGAAGATGCCAGCTTTCTTGAACCCTAACTAAAAGGTGTGACTAATCTCTGTTCTCCATCTCTCCCCTCACAGCTGCTGTCAAGATTTACATCTTACCTGTCCTGTTAATTTTCTCTCAAACTCTAATAAAATAATCCTCAATCTTAGGGGCTGGAGAGATGGCTCGGCAGTTAAGAACACTGGTTGTTCTTGCAGAAGACCTTGGTTTGAATCTCAGCACCCACATGGCAGCTAACAACTATCTGTAACTCCAGTTCCAGGGGATCCAATGCCATCTTCTGTCCTCTGTGGGCATTGTATGACACTGCACTTCCATACATACAGGCATAATACTCATACATATAAAATAAAAATAACACCAGGTATGGTGGCCCACACCTTTAATCCCATTCAGCATTCAGGAGGCAGAGGCAGGCACATCTCTGAGAAAACAAGGCCAGCCTGGTCTACATAGTAAGTTCCAGGGAGGTTGTGATGAGGGAGAGTGTGTCAAAAATAATAAATAAATAAATAAATAAACCTCAATCTTTTGAGTTCATTTTAAAATTATTTTATTAACAAGACTGACAGCCTACAAAAGGAAACCTCAATTGTCTGGTAACAAGTGGTCTCACAGGAACTTCAATAATCCCTTTTGAGTGCAGCTCCATAGTAACCTACTGATGAGCCTCCAAGCTAAGCTGCACCTCTTAAAGATCCCACCACCTCAGTTTTTCACAGTAGGTACCAAGCTCCTAATCCAGCCAGACCACATTCAGACCAGAGCAGACACCTTTTCAGAGGCAGGTGAGTAAATGTAGGTAGACTTGGAGATGAGTGGAAGGAGTTCCTCTCTGGTGGTTTTTAGTTTCTCTGTGAGGTTGAACATGAAGATCTGGGGTGGGGAGAGGGATTCCTAGAGACGGGAAGTTTTAAAGTAGATCCTACAGAAAGGAAGAAAGAATAAGCTGACTCTGCCCTCAGCTCCAGGGCAAGAACAAAGGAGCTAGGCCCAAGTCAATCAGCTCCTTAGTCTAGCTTCAGAGATGTGTTCGAAACCGTGCTCATGACTTAAGTCAGTTCAGTCAGAGCCCAATTCTTAGCATGCTGTGTCTCCATCCTACCAACCCCAACCCCACACACACTGGACTTGAGAAAAGGTTAGAATCCCCTGCACTGGCAGCCCACTTCCTGCCTTAGGGACTCTACTTTTCTGCCCCCAGCCCTCCCAGGTGCAGAGAGAAATGGTCCTCACAAAACTACTCAAACCTCTCTCTGTCAAGCTGCACTTACCCAGTCACACATTTTATTGATTTCATTTTTGCCCTTAAGCATTTTGACAATAACTGTTCTAAATCAAACTATAGTTTCTCAGGAATTCAAAATCCAGGGGATTCCACATTAATGCCAAGTAAGGACAGTGTGACCTTGACTGAGTCTGTGCTTCTGATGGAACACAGGGAGGCTGCTGCTGTTACTGCAAGAGGGAGAGAGACGTGAACCATTTGAGATTCCCACTGGACAACAGCTGAGGGAGAGTAGGAGGACAGAGTTTACCTTTCAGCACTGACCGTCCCCTACAAGTGCTAGTCACCAAACAGGCAGCTGTGGCTCATTCTTTCCATGCTAGTGGAAAGTCCTTTTAAACTGATAGGGGCACTTCCAAGTCTGTATTGTATCACTGGTGGTCTGGATCTAGGCCAGGTGGTTCTTGGTCTCTTGTTCAAATAATTGAAATAAGGACTGACACACATTTGGAAAAGTAGCAAAGAAACTGTATTCAAAGTAAAGGCATAGTGCAGATTAGAGAGGGATACACTATCAAGACTGACAGGGCCACATGAGTGAGGGTACGCAAGGACCCTGATTATTGCTTGGGGTTTCCTTTTATGAGGTTCAAGAGAAAGAGTTGGTTACTAAGGGGCATAGTTTTGGTACTTCCCTAATTTGACTCACAGATTAGGTCATATAATCATTTTCCTATTGCAAATAATCCCATCCCATAATGCATCGGGCTTTAATCAGAAGCATACTCAATTATGCTACAGGCATAAGATAGTAAATAGCGGATTCTCCCAATAAGTTCGCCTTGAGAGCACAGTTTGCCTTGCTGTGCATGTACCCAAAAGTAGTTCAGGTTAAATCAACATTTCTGGAGTTGTACCCAGATATGTAGAGAATGCACTCAAACAGAAACTGTCTAAACTGGATTGTTGTTAGGTGCACAGAAACATCCTATTGT